CCGCCCCCCCCCCCCCCCGTTTTCTTCAGGGGACTAAACTTAAACTTCAATAGCAGTGTAACTGATTCCATGCAAAGTTCATGATTTTGTGAAAGCTGGTAAAGTTTAAAGTTTAAATTTTGCACCCTGTGGTGCAAGCTCATTGAAATGAGCAGCCTAACTCCTCTGTCGGGTTAATGTTTTTGGTTATTTGAAGTATCAATAATTGTGTTCATCTCCAGTGCACATACCCCAGGTATTGAGTTCATGCAATGCATTTCATGTGCTCAATTCTTATTTATTCCCTGAGGCTACCGATGATACAAGGCTTTTTTACTTTGATCCACAGAGGTGAAATATTCTGTCTGACAAGTTCTTGGGTTCTGGTAGCACTCGGCAGTGCTGCTCTTTCCAGAAATCATTGCTCTGATTTTTCACCCTGGCGCTATTCAAGCCCAGTCTGCCAGAAACAGCTCCTGTAGAGTTGCTCTTCTGCTGCCTGTATCCCTTTGTGCTGGAGACTTTCTGCTGGTTCTGTGGTCAGAGCAGTTCTCAGGCCAGCCCAGTCCTGTCAAGCTGGGAGAGGCAGAGGTACAGGTGGGCCTCCTTTTGTCTCAGCTGATGCCCTTCGGCACTGCTTGCAGGTTAATGGGAGCTGGGAAACACTCCCTGCTTCTTGCCAATTGTCTGGGAGGACTCAGTGTGCCGTCACTGTAGAGAACCACAGAGGCTCAGGAACACTGACTGACTGATGTTCACAAAAGCCGTGTGACTAGTAGGGTTAGCGATTGATCTGGTGTTTCTACAGGAAAAAAGCTTGGAGCAGGAATTCCCATTGTGCCGTGAGCTCAGTGCTCCCCTGCCCAGGGGTTGCTTCTGCAGCCGGGCTTTGGGTACACTCTTTTTCCCGGCTTTCTGCCTGTGACCCACTGCCATTGGCAGCTCATCAGGAGCAAAAGTCTCTGTTCATTTGCCCAGCCGTGACTGGACAAGTCCGGCAGTTTATTGCAGAGATTAAGTCAGTCCGTTGTTCCGATGCTCAATGGTATAAAATAATTTCTGCTGTTCAAGCCAACACTGTAATACAGTGCAGAAGTAGATGGTTCTGTATGGTTGGCATGAAGCTCCATCTGATAAACCCCTCTGTCTTTGCACGCGAGCTGAGTACTCACTCTGTTTGCAGCCTCTTCTACAGTAAGGGCTCGTTGCAATGTTAATAGCAGGAGTGGATTGTGCGAACACACTTGTGAATACTGGTCTGGAGAGGTGGTTTGTTTTTCAGCGTTAGTCGGCTTGTTTTGCACCAGTTAGCCCTGCTAGGACTTAAGATTCAGTGGCAAAAATAGAAGAGAAAACCTTCCTGCTTTTATTTATTTATGTATTTACCATATTTATAATGTGTTTACCATCATTAGTATACACCGAATGATTAAGTACGGTGTCACAACCAGATGTTGGGGGTGGTGTCACCAACAGACGCGACACCCGCCCGCGTTCCAGCGTTGCCAGGAGCCGGGCCCGGCCCCTCACACCGTGTCCCGGGGTGCAGCTTCCCCGCAGCTGGGACGCTCTTCTCGCACTCCCGCAGGCTCCCGCAGGCTCCCGCAGGCTCCCGCAGGTTTCCGCAGGCTCCCGCAGGTTCCCGCAGGTTCCCGCAGGTTCCCGCAGGCTCCCGCAGGCTCCCGCAGGCTCCCGCAGGTTCCCGCAGGCTCCCGCAGGTTCCCGCAGGCTCTATGTCGTCGCCGGGGCGGTCCGAGGCTGCGGAGCAGACTCTGCTCGTGGGGAACTTGGAGAGCCGGGTCAGGGAGGAGATCCTCTACGAGCTCTTCCTGCAGGTAGAATACTGGTACCGTTTTATATCGAAATGCTGTTCCAATGCTCGAGAAGAAAAATTCCAGCAATGGGATGTTCGGTTAAGAGAGTTGGACAACATGCTCTCCAGAGGTCCCTTCAAACCCCGACCCTTCAGTGAGAGTGCAGAAACACAAAGTAGTTGGACCTGTTAGAAGCCCGAGTTTAATTCCTACCTGTTTTCAAGACTAAAGAGTAGTCTGCTGTATAACTGTAAATGTGAGTTTAAGAAAGTTCATCTTCTTAGAGGACATGAGTAATACAATACAAAAGGCAAAAGTGATAAAGATGCTCTTAGAACACAGTTTTACACTATTCTTCTGCATAATCTGCAGCAGCCATCCAACTGCCAGCTTTTATCTGGGTCTTTAGGTCATCCCAATATCTTGTAATTTTCCCTTGTTTTATCTTGTTTTCATTCAGGTTTCCTTTTTGCTGCAACAGCCTATGCTTCTCATTTTAGTCTTGCCCTGTCTTGGAAAATATCCAGTTCAATATTCCTGCTATGGCATAGTCCTAAACATGCACCCCTGACTTCTAGCTCTTCCCCTCCATCAAACGATGAGCAAGTATCTACTGCTGCTTCCAAACTATTAATACTTTTATTTATGAACTGGAAGCTTTTGCTATGAAGTTAGTAAATTAATCTTCCCCTTTGGCAAGCTAATTATTATGGTATGGAATTCTAAAAATAATAAAAATTCTGGTTATGAAAGACTAAACATGAGCTGATCCTTGGTTCCCTTTTAAAATTTGTGGAGCTGATTTTTGTAGAAGGCTCAGAATCATTTGGGAATTATTTGGGAATGTGGAGAGACATTTTCAAGGTAAGAAACTTACGGTTTCTGACTATGGCTGAAGAGAAATAATTAAATATTCCAAACATAATGAAGTGTCAGTCTCTGCTAAATAACCAAAATTTCTTTCAGGCTGGACCATTAACCAAAGTGATGATTTGTGAGGACAAAGAAGGAAAACCTAAGTCTTTTGGATATGTCTGCTTTAAACACAAAGTATCGGTGCCTTATGCAAAAGCTCTGCTGGATGGAATCCATTTGTATGGAAGACCAATTACCGTGCAGTATTGGAGGGGTATGTTTTGAATCCTATAGTCTTTCACAAAGATAACAATTTTTAGTTGGAAAAATTAATTGTTTTGCTAAGAAACAAGACTTCCTGTGGCTTTTGCATAGGGAAGGATTCAGTCCTTGTATTTTTATGTTTACTTAGAGAATACAATAGATTGGGTCAGAACAGTGTAACTTGCAAGCTGTCAGACACTGCTGTATGGAAAACAGCAAACCAGGTTTTCATGCCAGATTACATTTAGGAATTGGGGTGTAACTTTACCTTGCAGTCTAACAGAAAAAGTTGATTCAGTACAGACAGCCCCTGTTGAACTCTTTGATCATTTTAGACTAAAGCCACAGAGTTATCAGCACTGTTGTTTTAAAGGGAAGAGATTGTAGTTCAAAGAATATATTAAATTCAAAGTCATATTCTTAATTTTATGTATGTGGAGCTGAACCTTTGAACAAGCCAACAACCAGCCATTGTTTGCAACCCAGACAGTAAGGTCTCATGTTCCTGCTGTGCCACTGCTTCTTTCAAAGACTCTACAGACCAGAGCTGGGTTTAAGCAGAATATCTGTGGTTCCTAAAATCAGAAGCATCTCCTGTGTTTGTAACTGGGTGACAATGCTGTTCTGTATTACTTCGACAACCCAGATTTGTGCTTCTGTAACTGAATAAATGAGAAATGAAAATTTTCAAGCTTAAGATGATGCTATTGATGCTATTGATTATCTGCCATAAAATAAAATGGCACTTTTGTATACTACCTTAGATCTAATAGCACACCACAGATGACACAAAACACTTTCTGTGGTTCATAACTTATTAATTGAATTGTCATAACTTAATAGTCATTACACTCTTGTCTTATTTCCAGGGAGTTCTCACTCACCAGAACTAGACAGTTGTACAGATGGTTTTGAACACCATATTGACTTAGATTCTCCTGCAGACAGGTAACAAAGATCACCTGTGAATGAACCTTATGAATATAATTTTTAAAAAATTGTAGAAAAAAGTGAGTTGATGTGGTAGCGCAATCTTGAGGATTTTCATCAAAATAACATCTTGTCATTGCATCCTTACCGAGGGCTTGTGACAGGCTGCAGTTAATTTTAATGTTTGGTTGTTTAACATGCAAGATGATTAGTGAGTGTAGGAATAATAATAATAATAAACCTGTTATAATGGAAGTCTGAACACCCCAGATTAAGTATTTAAGCTGAACTCCCATGGTGAAATCTAGTACCCTTTTGTGCATGCACATATGAGGATTTGTCATTAATTAAGCCTTTGGGTATCTTTTTTCTCTTTTTTTCTCTCTTTTTCTTTTTTTTTCTTTTTCTTTTTCTTTTTCTTTTTCTTTTTCTTTTTCTTTTTCTTTTTCTTTTTCTTTTTCTTTTTCTTTTTCTTTTTCTTTTTTTCTTTTCCCCTCCCCCTCTCCCTCTCCCTCTCCCTCTCCTCTCCTTTTCCCATATAAGTCCTGCTGCTAATATCTCAATTGTCTTCTTGAATAGTCCCATTACAGCCCAAGAGTTAAGTCTCAGCACTCTGATAACCAGTATGTGGTGGACATTTAGTCATTGTACATTTGCTTGTTTTTCCTTTAGGCATCAAGAACTTTCTGGAAATTCTCCATTTCCTGTTACCCCTTTGCTAGTGAACAACAGTTTACTTCATGATCACCCTGGCTTTCAAGAGGTGGTGAGTTTGTGTTAAAAATTTGGGAGTGTTTTTATGAAGCTGAATGCATTTTGCATTTCTGCAAAAAACCAGTGCTTACTTCAGGTCTCAAAATGCGCTATAAGCACAGTATTAGGACACTTCAGCATCCTCTAATAACATGATCAGCCAAACCAAACTATTTTCTTCCTGCAAGAATATCTTAAAGGTGTATAGCTTAAGAAAGCTAGAAATGCTGAAGTCTACAAGCTCTCTTCTGCTCTGTGTTCCAAAAACCATGCAGGCAACAGCTTCTTCACATACAGCTAATTCCATTGGGCAAACCATTTGGTTCTTCTCAATTCAGAAATGCCCAGCAGATGTTTGAAATGTGCTAAGACTAAACCTAAAATCAATCACTACTGCCCAAATTTGGGAAACAACAGTTTGAGGATTTCTGGCCTAAACCTTCACATGCCTACATAGGTCTCTCCTTCATGATTTACTTTCACAGCAGTAGATGACAAGAACCCACACTTCACTTTCCCTCTACAAAACTATGGTGCACTGGCCCATTATCACCCTAATCTCTTCTGTTTGAAAAATTCCACAAAACAAGGAAACAGGTCTCTTTGAGTGGAAACCTGTGCATCAAACCTATTCCCCAAACACTTCACAAAGCTTCTGAATCTGATGAGTCTGTGGACTGGTAGGACTGAGGACACCCAGCCTTTAACATGAGGACAGCCTGGACAGTCCTGCTCACCCAGTCTGCCTGGGGACTGGCCAGCCCTTGGAACTATGGAAGGGGAGCAGTCTGGATCAATTACCCTCATTGGCTGCAATCTGAGCAGAAAAATGGAGAGAATCTGTTCCCCACCTATGGGGTGGGGGCCTGCCCTCCCATCTTCCCAGGCTGTGCCGTGAGAAGAGTTGGTGCTTGTTCCAGCTTTCCAATCTCCTCTACTTCCTTTTGGAAGGCTCAAGTCCACCTACCCTCTGTGCTTGCTGATGAACCTCCTCCTCAGTAGCAAGGCAGTAGATACTGTGAGACCAGACTTGGCAGACCAGCACACACAAACAACTTCCTCTCATTTTCTGCTTGCCAGAGAGGATGGTATTGCAGTGTGGTCTCACATGATAGCTTGTTGAAGCTTCAGCAGAAAGTGATCTCATCACTAGTATGCTGTAACAAGTCTACCTCACCTTGCCTGGGCAGGTTGCCAGGCAGGTCGCTCACTTGGGAATCTTTCAAGGTCCTTGTTGGAATGCTTTGTTCCACATTGACTTTAAAATTGGTTAAACCAGGTTTGAAGAATTTGGAGATGTGCAAGTTCTTTACAGTACCAATAAGCACTGCAGTTACAAATATTTATCAGAGATGAAGAAAGGAAAGGTATACCATATTTGCTTACTTTAAGTGAGGACTAGCTGGCAATTTAACTTTTAATCAGATTATGTCTCTGTTCTAACGTTGCTGTGAAAAATTTGTCTGCTTTTCTGAACTGTACTAGTTGTTGTCATAAAATACCTTTATTCTCAAACAGTCTGTATTATTTTATTGTTTGTCTATCTTTTAATTGTGTAAGATAATTAAAAGATTTAATTGTAACATGCAAAATTCTTTCAAATTTCCTCTTCACAATGTTAACAACTCAAGTTCCTATTTCTCTAAATGTACCATGTATACAGTACAGTACAGAGTCCAATGGATTAACAATTTCCTTATTAGCAGTACCTTCAACCTTATCCTTTTCTCCCTGTCAGAATAAAACTGCACAGTTTAAGACTGCACAGAGTTCTCCTGAATTGGCCACATCCAAGTGACTGTGAAGTGCACCAAGCAGGATGAAAGAAAGAGAAAATGGCAAAGTTGTGACAATGACACTAGTACTGAAGATAATAAAAGGAGACAAAGACAGCATGGACAAAACTGAAAAAAAAAAAAAGCCAAGAAAAAGACATGTTAATACTGGATAAATAGTTTTTATTATTATATTTGTTTTAATCTTTGAACTTTATTAAAGGAATGTTCAAGATTCATAGTATTTTTGAAATGTGATGCATAGAAACTTAGAATATCCTGAGGTGGAAGGGTCATCTAGTCCAGCTGGATCCACACCCTCCATTGCTGTCCCCCTTCCCATCCCCTCCCAGCACACCAGCACCCTGGGGAATGAGTTCTCCCCCAAACCCTACCAGAGCACACAGAACCTGCAAGATCTGGCTTCTCTGCCTCTTCTTCACTAGCACAACCAAAAGGAGTCTGGGTGGCTCCACTGTACTTGCAATGGCCCTTTCAGTAGCTGCAAATTTCACAGGTCCAGCTACATCAATTTCTTACCTTTATGTATCCTCAGTAAAAGGCATTGATTTGAAATATATTCACAGAATATTTAGTTGGGGGTTGGAAAGGAGCTCTGGAGCTCATCTAGTCCAATCACCCCTTCCAGGCAGGGTCACCTGGAGGTGACAGGAACATGTCCGGCTAGGTTTTTGTCTTGAATGTCTCTGGAGAGGGTGACTCCACAACCTCTCATGGAAGCTGTCCCAGTGCTCTGCCACCCTCAATGTAAAGTTCTTCCTCATGTTAAGGTGAAGTTTGGTTGCTTATTACCACTGAAGTGAAAGGCTGTCAGCTTGTGTAGGTATTTATACTTATGAGTAGGTAATCAGAATAACCACTGATTTATAACAAGCAAAAGAAAGTTTATTGATTTTTTTGGTAGCAACAGAAGGACCATATTTTTGTAACATTTTTTCAAGAATGGTTCAGTTCTTGTGACTTTAATACATATGGAAATAATTCTGCATTTAACAAGAATGAGAGTTTGTCTAAGTAGAAAATAGATTATTTTCCAGATCCACAAAAATGTGAAACAAGAAATTGCTAATTGTGTTGAAGACCTGTCTTACACTGCTGCAGCTATCCTTACTCTTAAAATAATCTAAGCCTAATATAAAAAACTCCAAACCCAGGAATAAAACATAACAAATTGTTTACCACTGAAATGTACAGAAACATTGCCTGAGCAAATCACATTGACAACAGTAACAGCTATTTCTTCTCAGCTGCTTCACAAAACTGGATGACAATTAGATGGCATACTGCAAAGCATGAAAATCAACACTAAAATGCTTTGTTATTTTTATTTCTGTGCAAAATGTTAAATGTCTGAAACAAATGACAAACATGCCATCCCTAGAATTAAGAAAAAACCCAACCAATTAAATTATTAGATGGTGCATTAAGTGCAAAAGCTGCTCCATGTGCTTAGATATAGGTTTGGCTTCAATTTGGGTTGAAGTAACGTGTAGAAATGTGTTGTGGCAATCGTTTACTTGTGGTTTTATGTATAAGTTTGTCAGTTATATGGTTCATTCTTGTGCTCCCCCCTGTTCCTCCCAAGTTGGTTTGCCCCTAGGAGTTGTATCCTCCACTGAACTGACCTTCATTGTAAATCCAACCCCTTATTCCTGAACCTTCCCTGCCTGTCACCACAACCCTGCCCCTTGTCCATCATTGTAAACCCTGTCCTTTGTTCTGGATCCTTCCCTGTCAATCCCCTAACCCTTGAGGCCTCATTGGCCTGCGTGACCGCTCCTCTATTCCCCCTCATCCCTGATGGTTCCTGCACTGTAATACCCTCCCTTCACTGCTTCCTCCTGGATTCCCCATTGGCTGTTTGTTTGTACCCTCCCATTGTGTTGCTGCTGTATAAAATCCCGAGCAGAGCTGTGCTCGGGGCTCTTGGGTCCCTGACTCCCTTCAGCAGTAAACCTTTCTCTGCTGGAATCTCACACCGAGAGCCTCTTCCTCCTCCTCTACCCGCTCCTTGACTGTGGCTGACAATCCTGTCTGTTGAGCACAAGGCTCAAAGGTTCTGCCTTCAGTCGGCACCGATAAAGTCAAGGTAATTCCCCACACCTGGTGCAGCTGCTGGTGTGTTTCTCTGAGCTAGCCTGGGCTCCAGCAGAACCCCATCAGAAATGCATCTCCTTTTTTCACTATGTGAACAGTCACGCATTGGAACAGGTTGTGCAGACTAGCTAAGCAGTCCCTGTCCTTCAAGGTTTTCAGACCAGTCTGGATCCAGCCCTGAGCAACATGGCCTAACATAATACCTAATCCTGCCGTAACTGGACTAAAAACTACCTAAGGTCACTTCTAACACAAATGATTGTATTCTGACAGAGTACTGTGATAGAACTACTCTTAATAAGAATTTGCAAGCATTTCTATTTGAAAGCTCACCACCACTTACCTCCTTAGACAAAATACCCTCAACTGGTATCTGAAAACTTAGCAAGCTTGCATTTGAAATCAAACTTTTTTGGAACTAAGTTAACCTGCGATACTATCAAGTGTCAAGAGCCTGAAGTATGATTTGGCAAGGACCTTAAAAATAAGAAAACAGACTGAAAAGTGTACAAAACTTAATACCTGGACATCAAGCATCTTTTTCATGTACATTTTACATTAAATACATTAACCCTAAGAATGACAAAGATCTCATTTTTAAGGAACCATCAAGTGAATCTTTACACTGGGAGCAAGAACTTCCATAGGCAAACGTTCCTTTCCTGCCTCCTAATAATTTTTGCATTCCTCACTGACGAAACGCAGTGCATTGAGGGCTTCCACTGTCACTGTGAGCTTTCCAATTACTGCACTGGCATCTTGTGAATCGAAAACTAGAAAGGAAACATCAGAAAACAGCATTACCTATTTAACTTTTGATAATTTTCCTTAGTGTTTGGACAGATTAAAGAGCAACTAACATATGCTAAAATAACTAACTAACTAACTAAATAAATAAACTTGCAGTTCAGGTCCTCAGGGTACTGGAAATTACCACTCTTAGAACTAGGATATACATCAATAAAAGTATCAGTGTTGAAATTAACTTAAAAAGGAAACTATTGATATAATAATTGTCTATTTAAAATAGTTTTTTTTCACAATATGTAAATAAAGATGTTTCAAATTCTATTAAAGACATATCTACATACATAGGAATAGTTTTAAGTAAAAATACACCAATTAATGCATTTTCTACATTGCGTATGATGGATGGGTCCAAATCAGGCTTGATAAATCACTCAGCAAACTGTCAACTTCAAGAGCAGACTTCAGTGGATTGTATCCTTTTTACTTAAAAGATGAGCAGGATAGCTGTAGTTAATTATATCCAAAGATAACATTAATTCTATTTTCTCACTTTTTATACTGTTCTTTTATCTCTGAGATACACTGTTAGATGTTTTGACTATAGTATTTTTCATCCATCTTCTTGCTTAATTTAATTTAATTGCTTCAAATTTCACATAAAACACTCTGACACAATCAGCAGTGAAAGAACAAAATATGAAAAAGATATATGGTTGCAATCATCAAAAAAAATAAAGTTTGGTATCTAACTTGAGTGACTTTATCTTCATGCGCTAGTGTCCTATGAATTTCCCTGTGTCTAGGTTTATTATTTTTCCTTAAACCAATATCCAACTCAGAGAACATGTACAACACTACCTAGGAATTCTGTTTATTGTTTAAATTTAAATTTTTATTGTTGGACATCTGTGTCCAGATCTGAAGAACTGATTCTTCTACAATTATTTCATCCATGAAAATAGACAGATATATTTTTTTGCCATGATCTGACATATTTTAATATAAAATTAATTTAAATTCTCTGAAACATCTTAATTTTCAGAAATATGCAAATTTCTGTGTTATGGATGCAATAAAAATCCCCAAAAAACTGTACAGCATATGCAGGAAAGGGAAGAAATGCAAAAGGGAAAAAGACTAAAAGTATTTCTAGTCCTTATTATAATTTTCATAGATATAATTAACATAAAGTAAAAATTAGTTTAAATGTTTGATGATTATTACAATACAATACTACAACACTGAATTACTGACTTACTACAATATTGAAGTAGTTGTCATTACATGGTAATGATTGGTTTACAATAACTAGTAATAAAACCCAGTCATTCTGGTCCTAATAATTCTCTCAGATGATGATAAGGAATATTAAGAGTTTTGTGAAAAGTGACTCAAAAATTACGCTTACATAATTAATCCATCTTAGCAAATGGGAATTATGACATTGGGAGGTATGGTCATAAATTCCAGAACAAAAATCAGTTTTCCATAGAGAGATTATAAAACACGTTTTTGGAGGAGCTTTCGTACTTGGAGAAAAGTTATTGGTGGAGAAAAGCTTAAGTTACTGAGCCACAGCAGGAAACACACTAAATCTGTATATTATTTTTCCAGAGTACAGAGATTTGATTCTTAGAATTTTTCTTATTGCATTCCTGTAACTGAGTGTTTTAGCAACAACATGGATGCAAATCATGCATGATAATGGGAATGGATAAGAAAGCCTATTTCTTTCCCTCATTACTCAGCTCCCCATTGCTCAAGGTACAGGAATTAGACACAGCAGTAGAAGTAATAAAGCTACATCTGCCTGGCATTCTGCTGGGGCTCACAAGAACCCTTGCTATTGCAAAAGGCACCTTGTGAACATGAGTGCTCTTCATCCAACCATTAAACTAGTTCACTTACTGGGAAAGAAGAGTGACTCTTTTATAACAGAGGTGCTTTCAGCTTCTTCACTAAGCTTCACCCCAAGGGGGAAAGAGGATTGAGAGGAAAAGGAAAGGGAAAAGTGCACCATTGGCAACCATGTTCCTGCTGCCACGGGGAACAGGAAATTGAGCAAGGAGAATATTATCCTCATAGTCAACAAAAGGACCAAAAAGCCTTCTTGAGTCTTCTTATCAGTGTTATAAAAATGCATCCTATGACCCCAGGAAATGGAAGATTCCACACTTCCTACTCACATCACCTTCCTGTAATGAGTCACAATCATTTTGGTCACAGTCTGTTACAGAAGGGTGCTCACTAAAACTGATTCCTAATCAAAACCACCAGTATTTCATATTGTCTCATACATGTTTCATATGGAGGAAACAGACTTGAGGTGCTCGGGGTCATAACGTAATTTCAAATAAAATGCAGATGTTAGTAATACAAAATTGCTGAAAAAAATTAATACAAAACAAATTTTTATACAAAATACATATTTATTGTCCTACCACCATGAAGTGTGTTGTAGAAAAGAGAGCATTATAGCAGTGGACATGGCTTGAAAGTTCTTAAGTTTTATGAACTGATTTCTATGAGGTCAGAATGCTGTTTGGTTTGGGTTTTTTAAAAAACAGACTTAAAGGAATAACACTAATAGATAGTTTTTGCAGACTTCTGCAAACAAATGTGGAAGGTATTAGTTAGTATTAAAGAATTTCTTATTGAAACAATGTCAAACAATTACTTGCACAGTAACACCTGCAAAGCAGAGATTTAATGAATTTTAGGCTACAGAAGCGTAGAAGAAAGTGATCTTTAAAACTTACCATCAATATCTTGCTCAATGATATCTCTTTGCTTCTGAAATATCTCTTTTAAACTGACATAAGCAATCCCAATATCCTCACATTCAAGATCCTGTTCATCTTCTGGGGGGTCACTGACCACTGTAAATTTTAGGCTAAACACACACACACACACACACAAAAAGGTATTTTGTTTTCAAAAATGGTCAAAAATCAAATTACAAATGATAAAAAAAGAAAAAACACACTATTTTACAAGTTTAAAATGCATAGAGGTGGAAACATTTGGTGTATGGGCAGAATCTTTCCATAAATTTTGTTTCTTGGTGGTCTCCTTGCAATGATAAAATGGAAGACTGGACTACTGATGAACTTCTGTCTTCCTATTTATTCAATACTGAACTGAAATTTCAGCACAAGCCAAACCAGACATTCTGATAACTGTAGGAAACAACCTACTTAGTAACACAGGGGACAGCAGTGACATGATGACACATGTAAGAGATTAATGCTTCTGTTCTGAAAAAAAGCTCACTGCTGTTATTTTACTTCATTTTTGCCTTAGGTTCGTAAAATATTTAATGTAATTATCTAAGTATTCATAGGGGAAATTGCAGCACACAGACCAGCTGTTGTTGCACTGTGTTGAGGAGTCCATCCAGTGCAGGTGGCTCAGGAGCAGCTGCAGATTGAGCACTGGAGAAGCCCAGCCCAAGGCGAGAGGCTGTGAACATCCCTTAGCGTAACAAAGGGCCCAGGGACCGATGGCCCAGTCAGACTGGGTTCACTCGGGGACAAGGCAGGAGCTGATGACCCCCAGACTATCCTGTGAGGGTACAAAAGCCCAAGGGGTTCCTTTGTTCAGGGTCCCTCATCTGAGGCTCCAGTTTGAACTGTTATTGTCTTATTTAATTACTGCACCAAAAATTAAATTATTTTAAGGATTGGGACCTCTAAGACTGAGTGATTGGAAATCTGGGCTGGACTTGGTGAGGGCAACTGGTCTTGACTGGGACAGCATGGGGGGTGTAGCTGCAAAGGGACCTCAGTCCCAGATCAGGTGGTGAAGTGTGACTGCCACAGCGGTCCTGGATTGCTGGACAGGGAAATTTCTTTAGCAACTAAATTATCTGTCAGGAAAAAATAAAAGGAGTATTTTATCCTCGTTATTATTAAATCTTAGTAAAACATGCTTTAGTAGCGTATGTTTAGCAACTTTCCTAATATAGATGGCAAAATAAGGGATATGGAATGAAGAGAGATCACTGTCACTCAGAGTGAATCAGTGATTTGTGAGTAAGATTTACATATGAGTCTGACACTTCAAATGCAATCAGCAGGTATCCTAATCTTCTGCAAATTAAATGGATCTTTATATTAATAGTTGTTCCATTTTAATGAAGATTTACATTCAAAAAGAAACAGAATGAAAGTATGTAATTCATTCTCTCCAAGTAATGCACATGGTATCTCAGTGAAAAAAAAAAGAACAAATTTATTACTATGAAATGGGACAAGTTTAATTGATAGTCTTTCTCATATGTATTCATGTAATAGATGTTTGCTACATCCATATATATACACCTTTTTTTGTTTGTTTTTTTAAATTATGGGGCCAAGGAACACTTCCTGTGTTCTTAAGTTCTTCTTATAGTATTCTGAATTTAGAAAGCAACAAATGTACTACTCTACCATCACAGAGATATGTGCTTTTCAAATTCATTACTGATAGACTACTGATGATAGAATATAGAAACTCTCTTTTGCAAAACAAAGTTAAAAAAAAACACCAATGAAACAATTTCCCTGAAAAACTAAACTACAGATTTAAATAAACATTAGATGAGTATGCAATATTCCATTCCATATGCACCTATTCAGAGAAGAAGACCAGCAGCCACATCAGAATGCATGCATCATTCCTAGCTGAAACATTTCTTTCTTTTCCTGTTAGTTATGTATTTATCTACTTAGGGTTACCTTGTCAGTAAAGACAAACAGAAAGGCAAACCATGAGCATTTACAAAGACCTATAACAGTGTTTTTCAGCATTAATCTGTACCTGTCAGCAGGTAGATCTGGCTTTAGAAGAATTGACTTGAGATACTCTCTTTCTGCATGATTATCTTCCTTATCAACATTTATCACTGCAAAGCAAATAAATTAATAAAACTGGCTATAATTTGGTTTTCACCTATTAGAAGAAAGAACACGAAGAAAAGAACAAAGAAAAATAAGCGTTTATTTCCTCTTCTTTTCTACGGAAAAAAAACTTTAGAATCACGTGATCTAATGAATACTGTCAAAAAAGAGTAAGCAGCATCTAAGCATGTCACAGAGCTGCTGCTTTCTATTAATGGCAATAGCAGATATGATTTTAAAAGCCAGGAGTCTTTACTGCTTTGTATTAGAAGTGATTTACTGTATTTTCTTCCACTAAGGAAGCTAGAGATAGTGAGAATGTATGGCAAAGTGTTTATCCTTTTTGACAGCCTCAGTAATTTAGTCCTCATTTCCTGCCACAGTATTTCAATACGAGAAATCTTCAGACCAATGGATCGGAGAAAATTTGCCATCTATATTTCCTCTCAAGTGGGCAATGCCAGCATAGCCCATACCAGCATAGTGGTTAATGTGACATTTCCACTTCCTTTCAGTCTTCAGCTACACATGGAACGATCCAATAGTTTAAGTAAGAGAAGGATCTAAATGAGTGAATTCTTTGGCAAACTGCATTCTAAAATCAGGTTTGTAGATGGTAGCAATTTTAAAGATCTCACTGAGACATCATTTCTGCAAAACCATTTTTATGTAATTATTTTTAAAAGAATGCTTAATTTGAATGTCTGTATTAAGGGTTTGTCAGAAACAGCAAACTGATTCACCTACTTCAGAATATGCTCAGCCAAAAGTCCAAGACTGAAGCACTCAGGCTGAATCTTAAATGAAACAAAATTTTACCAGGAAGGAAAAAGTTAATGAATAATTGAAATATGATGAAATAGCTGGGAAAATAATTAACAAGAGAATAATAAATTATTACAATTGTTCTATGTATGCCATTAGTGTAAATATAAAATACTAATTGGCAATGTATTAGCATGAAACATGGATGAATCTGTTCCCCTATTAAAAAAGTTATCATTAAAGGAACAGTAAGTATTTGCAAGTAGTGACAAAGTCTAATTACATATTCTCTCTTTTCAATTGTGTTTTAGATGTACAGGTTAGAATGTTTTTATTTTGCTGCATCATCATGTACCAATAGAAAAAATATCATCACGTTCTTATAAAAAGAATATATAGATTTTACTTATGTATAGTCTAATTTTGAAATTTATACACTACCAACATATTTAAATATGTTGTGATGTTACCATTTTATATACCAACCTCCTTCAGCATTTCATTTTATGCTTGATAATTGCATACTTACCTCATTTCTTTAAAATCACTTTTAGTATTTCCCAAAATATCTGGAAAATAGGCACATAGAGTTGGAACATGGAGAAATGCAGCTATAATATATAGGAAGTAGGATTTATTGCAGGTATTTTCACAAGACAGAATTTAAGAGAATAACCAAGCCTGGTCAGGAATACATCAGACTTACCAGTGCTATAGTTATAGTGAATCCTCTGACCACCTGTTGGTTTTGGAAGAGACAGTGGGGTCTCCTCTGCAAGGAAATTGTTTAATCTGCATTCTACAAACAGCTGCTGTATTGTTTCATCTGCTGTAATTCGTGACTCAGTAAGACAGAGTGATGTAATTTTAATCCAGATTTTTTCAACTTCCTATTTAAAAATATAAACATAGCACAAATTATTTTTTGTTTCTGTAAGTGTTAACATAAAACAAACATACATATATATATGTAAATCATTGGCTTTTTTATACGATTAATACTGATTGATTAACATATACAAAATGAGAATCTAAAGCTCCAGGGTTTGTAGCTAAGACTGTTGTTGCAAGAGATACTGATTGCCATTTAATGTTTAAAATATTTTTGCAGTAGTCATAGTTACAGTCTGCTGGTTATCTTTATGTAAAAATACTATCTGAATCACAAAATTAAGCTGTCATAACTTTTAACTACACAGTAAAGTGATCCTGTAACTGCTTAAAATACTGCCAGTAATACAAGGTACTGAAGTTTTCCAAATAAAGAGTTGTTAGTACCTACGGCAGACTATACTACAAACAGTTCAATAAAAACCCATCAAATCACAAAATTCTTAGGCATGTAAAATAATTATGTATTTGTAAAGAATTCAACTTCATATAGTGAACTTCCCTAGTGATAATAAAAGTAATATCCCAATTGTTCTTCACCAGAGCCTTTTCTTACTATCTTTAACTGAAATGACATTTTTCTGTTCTTTATATGAAATTGTTTTACACTGTTCTGCAGTCTGGAATATTTATGTACAGATAAATTTTAGTAAGTTTTATTTAAGTGGGCATGTTGGACTCAAGAGAAAGAGTCACAATTATTTCTCAAAGTTACTCTGGGAAGAAAGAAGAAAGAAAAGCCGATGTGGTTTCAAAGCTGGAATATGTAGGTGAGCATTCAATGAAGATATTCTTCAAAGAGCAAACAGAACACACAGGATATAGAAATGTTTAATTTTTTTTACTTATTTGTTTTCAGTATATTACTCTCCCTTCATAACTTTATTAAAAATATTTCTTCTATACGGAAATATTTTGAAGATTTTTATTTCTCAAATCACTTGAAGTACTAAATCACATTCAAAAGATGAGTTTTCTATATTCAGTCAGAACTCCAAGTTAATGTTCTTATTTCATATGGAGATAGATTTTGCTGAGCAGATGATAGAATTAATCAAAATGAAAAGCAATGTATCCTATTGTGAAAATATCCACCATACAGAACAATTTCCATTGCTGTCAAGTCCTTTCAGTATTTCATGATGTAATTTTACCCCCTCCTTTCAAAAGACTTTTCCTTTTATTATGTATTATTTTATTATGTATCCTATGACACTTTAACTGCAAATCCAAATCTGGATAAATATTTCAATAAGGTTCTTTCACTATTCAGAAGGTTCATGGAAATTTTACAGAAAAAATTCCACACTGTTCTGTCTCTACTAATATAGGTACACAGCTTTAGCAAATTTTTTTTCCTAAAATCTAGTAAGTTAAATGGATACCAAATGTCATTAAAGTGATGGTCTTTGACCTGAATATGCTTTTCATATTCAAATTTATAAATTAAATGAAATGAAGTATTTTATGATCAATCATACATCATAGACAAGAAGCAAAAATAAAGAAGCAACTGGTACAGCTTGATACTGGAAAATCTGTTAGATATGCCTTATAATTAATATATCTAAGAAATAACCATGAACTGTCTAATCTGTAATATACAAAAAAATCCCCAGTATGATCTTAAATGACTCAAACAGTCTAGTATACAATTCAGATTTATAAGATAATTAGCACCATTATGTCCAAAAATTACAAGATTTATTTACAGTATTTGAGTACCAGTAGGATAATTATCTCAAAAGATAAAAGGCAACGATTTCTGATCTTTAATAAACAACAAAAAATAATAGCAATTTTGACATGCTGTATTCTGTAATCAACCCAAGAATTCAAGTAAAATAATGCATATTTTTAAAATCCAACTTTTATCACATGGTGCCTTAATAGTGTGTAGCTTTTACTGTTTTTATCTACCATTCACAAACATGCACATTGCTACCGAAGAACAGTTCAATGGAAGGACACAGAAACTGATGAACCTGAAATGAATCTACATACAAAATCCTCTCAGAATTGTCCTTAAATAATTTTGATAAAATAAAATAAAGGATGACTAGAAAGGTATAGAGTAACTGTATTAACGTTTGACTTAACAGTGATTACTAATATTCATTTTAGTTCTCAAAATTACAGGTGAATTTTTTTAACATTTTACATATAAATAATGCAGTCTTCAAAAGTACCTTCTGTATCTTTCTGAAGAACCTATAAGTGACAGCGTTTCTACATACCTACTGAGCTGAAGACATGCAATTTCTTTGAGAAGTACTTTCTACAGATTAAAAAAAAAAGACGCAGTATTTCTTATACATGTTTCTTGTTGCTAGTTACTTTGTAAGATACCACATAGCCTTGAAAAGAGCACTTCAAAAAATAAAACTTCCTCTAGGATATCACATTGCAGAACATTAAAGCCTGTTAATTTTAAGTACTAGTTTTATGGTTAAGATTGTTCGGCCAATGTTAGATCTAAAAGTGTGAAATATTATTTTTTTTTGAGAACTATCCTATTGAAATACTGTTCAAAGTAAATTTTCCAAATTTGTATTATGATGTGCTACTTTGTATATATGACTTCAAGCCCTGAATTGCTGATTTTAAGAATAAGTCAAGAGGTTTTGTATAGTACATGTACAGTTCCATTGAAAACTGATGTTAGATATAGCAAAGCTACTCTTAGTGGACATTAGGCTTAAAATATTTTTCTTAGTCTTACCAAATAATTGCCATGTACACTCTGACTCAGCTGTTTAATATTTGTGGATACTGGACTTGAAATGATACAGTCATCACTGTCAGTTTTTATTGATTCAACAGCATCATCTTGATTATCTTGATCTATAAACAAACAAACAAACAAACGCACGCAGGTAACACTTGCTATATTTTAGACCACCTCAGACTGAATAAGAAATCTGATAGCAATGAATTTCCTTTTCTAATATAAAAAGAGTAAGTGCCAGGTAAATGTTCTTTTCCTTGAAGAACATTAACACTGTGAATCAATGATCTTTACAGTCATCTAATCTGTATTTTTTCTGGTTTGTTAAAAAAAATAGTGATGTTTTCCAGACATAAGCTGGCAAATAAAGTAAGTCCTGTAACAAATTAAGTATGCACAACTGTTAGCTTTAGTTAAGAATACGGCCCGAATTCGTGGATTTTCTCTGACTTCCTTCAACACCATGCATACATAAAAGAAGAATGCACTTTTTTACTTTATTAAAAAATAGTTCTGTATTCAGGTGCATTATTTTCTGGAATATTCTAGAGCATTTTTTTCCATGAAGGAAATGATAAAGACAACTGGTATTCAAAATCAACATTCAACAAGTTTTTCCAATCTTTCTAATGAATTCTTATGCTAAAGCTGCAGAGAACTAAACAGAAGTTTAGCATTCTTCTTCTGCTTTTATTTTAAACTTGGAATCATGGACTTGGTTATTGCCCTAATAAACAGTTTAAGCTTGGAGGTGGAACAGGATGACTTGGCTTTTATAATCTTTAAGTAAATCTAACAACTTTGTGGCACATAAGTGATATGGCATACTAGCCCTCTCACTGTCTGAAAGGATGCCAGTATCAGCATTGGCTGTTATCTGCAGACAAAAAAAGCATACTCATTAAAATAGTCTTTGGAACAGCATAGTTCTAAGGGAGAATCTGAAGACATTTAAAATAGAAACCAGGTTTCCTTTAATATTGTACAAATCTAAGTTATATATTAGATTTTTGCAATCAATTACAATATGGTTTCCATCTGGGAAGAAAACACAACTTACCCACCGCCCAGCTTCAAGTGCAAAGTACATCAGAATATAATTTATGTCATGAAGTTTCTCATAATGAGGCAGCTTCCACTAATAGACAGATTTTTTCAGAAAATACAGCTACTTATTAATATGAATTCTACCTTCTGGTTGCAATTCTTCAATTATTTCTGTTTCATCTCTAGAAGTAATCAATGTTTGGTCAGCCAACTGCTCCTCTGACAGATGAGAGAGTTCTTTTTCCTGCTGAATTTCTTCGGCCATCTCCTTCGCTTTGTCACCTGACACCTGTTTAGCCTCCTGTACCACATGCTACAGAAAAAGATAAACTTTCAGTCTTTATAGAACTCCTTGAATAGCAGAAGTTACTAAAGTTCAAAACTTGAAGAGTTACGGCCTACGTTCATTATCCAGAGCCTTTTAACAATTGCTTATTATTGCTTATGCAGTGCAGGAAACAATGTCAACTGCTGTAACGTATAATTCATATACAGCAGAAAGACATTTATCTAACTGTATTTGTGAAAACATAACTATTTTAATAATTTTGTACCTGTCAACATATATACAGCCTATTTGATTTCCAGATTAATTTATATTTCATCTTTTTCTACAAGTTCTACAAGACTCAGTCAAAAAACCCCAAAACATACAGAAAACACCACCACCATTTTTCTAACTTAAATTATACAGTTTTTTCTGTCTCAAAAGCAAAGTAATATAATATAAAAAAATAATCATCTCTGCTACACAGTATAAACATGTTATCTAAGGTAAAATATCTTTAATGCACAATGTATTCTGAAGTAATCTTACTGTTTTCCTTCTCTTTGAGTTCAATTACACAAAATAATACCTCATCAGCGGATACTGCATTACAGACAAGGCACCTTCCATGTAAATTTGCAGTGCTTCATTACCTATGCATTATTTATTATCCAACAATTCTCCTGTAGGACTGAATTTTTCACAGTGGCACTGATGCCTCACCTCCCACCCTTAGAATCCATGAAAAAGCTTTCAGCTGTCCACAGAACATCTCACTTTTTCAAAACTGGACCTGAAGAATTATTTTTGTTCCAACACATTTGGAGCCACACAAAGAAAAGCAATGCTAACAAACACAACAGAGTCTTGTTCTATAAATCAAGGTTATCCTAGAAGTTTTCAAGTCATAGAAAACTGACTTTATGTGTCTTATGTTCCTTTTTGTTACAGATGTGTCATAACCATTGTGTTTTATACAATGTTTGGCCATTCTTCTTAATTCCTTCAGTGACAAGAGTTACACTTTGTGGATGAAAGTTTCCGAGAGAACAGTTTTTGCTTATTCTAATTGACCAATACCACCCGATATGGTCAGAGAGAGACTCTTCTCAAGCAAAGCCCCAGATGAGGGCTGAAGCAGTAAAGTAAAAGGAAAATAAGAGCCAGTGATTAAATACTGTGTTATACCACTAGAAACTATAGTATACCACTAGAAACTACAGTTTGCCAATCTGCCACAATTTACTTTTACAACGAATTGGGCCAATACAATAATTAATACTTCTCCTCTAAGTGCTACATAATGTGGTGGTGCATCCCTCCTACATCATCTGCAAGTACATCATCCTCAGTGCTCTACTCTCAGACACACTTTAAAAGCCTTGACAGAACCAGCTGAGCGGTGAAGTGTCTCTTGACCCTGTCAGGTGAATTGTGAGGCATCACCAGATTGTACCAGGAGCTCTGGCATGATGTAAATGGGCACAATCAGAAACATCAGCTGCCTAACCAAGATGGGAAACAAAGCATAAGCAGCTGTCCTTTTCAGCCTTGGTAAACCATTTACCTGAATTGTAGCTCGAGAGTAATGGTATTATTGCTGCTGCACTTTGGGGAAAAAACACCAGGAGCAATTGACTTGGGCTTTGGCCAGGAGGGAAACTGGTGACCAACAATCATCTTGCAACCCTATAAACAGCAGTCCTGAGTGAGACCCTTTGAGCTCTCCTGAACAGCAGCGGCTCCACTACACTGCCCACTCCGAGTGGGACCTCTCAGAGCTTGCAAATCCTCAAGTTTGCAATATCTGAAAGACTGTCACTGACAAGAAGGCCTGGGCTGATACCACACATCTCCACCTTCTTCAAGGTGTAAGCCTTGCCAGCTGGGAAATGGAAAGGGATTTGATATGAGTATTTCACTGAACCCAAGAAGAACTTTTGATAGCTAAATTTACACACATCGGCCTGCACATAATTTTACCTGTGTGTGCATGTGAATTGGTTTTGGTATGAATGTTACTATCTCAAATCTGTAGTTAAGTCATTATTATAATTGTAGTGAACCCTATGAAACTGCATTTTAAATGTTAACGTACTTCCATATTATTTTCAAATACAGAGCCCTAAGTGTGGAGGAAGCCCAGTCTGAATAAAACAAGGGGAAGCCTTCAATATACAGTAGACAATTAATATATAAAAGTAGGTACAGATTTACTGGTGGAAAAGCATTTGGACAGGAAATTATGTCCTCCTTTGCCTCCCTGCATTAGCATCACTGATTCTATCTTCTGCTAGAGCTTCCTATGTATGAGGCTGGACCATTCTTACAATTAGTTTGGATGAGTCAAACCATTCGTCTCACTTTTAAGTGAGTCGCCTTTTCTATTTGCTTTGGCATGTATCACATTGATATGAACTTTTATTAAGAACTAGATTGATTCTCTGCTATTCAGAAAATGAACTGGAAAATGAATCAGGCTTCCCATTTTAATCTATCGAACTTCTGTTTTTCTTGCATGGACACTTTCTTGCCCTTTCATCACAAGACTTAGACGTCAGAGAAGCTGTTCCATTACTCAGGCTTAACAGTCCTTTTGTCTTTAAACAGACAATGAGACTTAGATTTTTAAAACAGCTAGAGGAGCTGCCAACACAGCAATAAAGACTTATGATGAGGGCAAGCAGGTGTCTCACTTAGAAAATCCTAGTTTGTGAAAACTGTCAAACTTTGAGAAGTTACTATTTGGATAGCTGAAGATATTTTGTGTGTTTAACTATCCGGCTAACATTTCAGTTTTTCATATCTAAGCTCTCAAAAGATTATATTCACCAACACTTGACTTTTTGTTTTTTAAAGTTAGTAAATGCAACAGATTGACTTAATTCTTATTTCTGTATAGCTCTCAACGAAGTTCTAGTCATAGTAAACTAAACAGTAACAGAACCCGTTAATTGAAAAGATGTTAACTTTTCAAATAAATCCAATCAAGTAATTTATGAAAGGAAAAAAACCCCACAACTCGTTCTTAATTAATGCAATATTATTATAATTATATATAATATATAAACATAACCTTTTATAATTGCCTGTTGAAGAACCTACCTTTACTTACTGGAATTTACTTAAAAGACTAACCACAACCTATTCTTAATTCTCTGAATGTGAATTATTTCAGAGGAAAATTTACAAAATGCAGCAAATACATTTGACTTAGTTCCATGCAGACTCTCTTAAGACTCTGTAAGGCTGTACAGATGACAGTGTATCCCAAGTTAAGAAGTATAATTATTTTCAGAATAATTATAGTCAAAATAATTCAGAATGTGTGCAATCTCAGCTGATAAACTTAATTTTAGAGGTGACTCTGAACTGTGTCAAATTATGTATCTCATTATCCCAACACTCAGGATCTATTTGGATCAAGCTGGTTTCTACAGAGCCATTTATATGCAGTGCAGGTGGTACACTGTAGAAAGACACTTGAATAATGCAGAGAGCTGAGAAACACAGTGCAGAGTGAGTTGATTGGTCTTCTTAGAATCTGCCCTAAGCCAGCAGAAATTGAAGCTTGTAAACTGTGGAGGACATCAAGCAGTTCTGAAGGAGTCACACAAATACCACTGCATTGCGACCCCCACCTATATGCAGTACTATGCTATCATTCATTGCCTGGGACATCCCAGTATTGTGCTGCTAAAATAATCCAGTGTTCTTGATTATTAGTTCTACAAATTGCCCATATGAAGCCATAAGCAGCCTTTCATGCTTCAACATTCATAACAAAAATACTCGGAACTTACTGACATCTGTATTGTACTAAGATCCAGAAAAGAGACTCTCTTGTGTGCTTGAGCTGCACGCTGCTTCATTTTGAGTGTTGGTGTCTGTAATAAACAAATATATTGAAGGGCACTTATTGCCATTTTATTTTACAGTAAATTATGAGGAACTCTAATATTTTTCAAAGCCAAATCTAATGGCACTAAATTCAATTCTAATCAGACATAATTTAACAAATTCATACACAACATACTTCTCTGATTACATCATGGAACCCATGGAGATATTATCCAACACATAAATTTACTATATGGAATAATATAAAAATTTGAGTTATTCCAGATACAGTATTTTAAACACCTTAGCTTACAAAAAAGCCCACCAAAACCTCTAGTATTTTAATTTATACATTTCGACCTGTTTGCTTTTATTTCTTAAACAACTATTAAAGATGTCTGAAAGTTCCTTCTTTTTCTGTGGCCCTTATTTAAATGTGATTGTACAGTGAATTATATTGTCAAAATTCTCTTCAATATCCAGCTAAAAAACCCAGCAAAAAACTAATGTGAAGGAATCTCAATCTCCATCTCACAATTTTCCAATGTTAAGAACTACTTCAATACCTTTTTTGAAAAACTGCTTCATCCTTTCTATGTATCTAACATCCAGCTGGTTTAAAATTCATGAGTATGATACTAAAACATAAGGCACTCACAGCTCAAGAAAATTAAATATAATGTCAAATGTTCTAGTGACAACTTCAGTAAAAATAAATAACTAAGTTTGAGACTTTGCCTCTTCGGGTAAGGTATTCAACTGGTTCTTGATCTCTTTATAAGAAAAACTGCTAATGTATTTTCTGGTTCAAGAACCTTTACTACACTTTGAATGTATCAAGACTTGACCTAAGCTATTTGAACTCAAAAAAGAAAGAATTAAAGAGTTAATTTTATCAAAACTATCACAGAATCATAAAATGGCTTGGATTGAAAGGGAATTTAAAATGTAGTCCCAGAATCCTTGCCATGGGGAGGGACACCACCTTCCACTAGACAAGCTGCTCCAATCCCTGTCCAATCTGGCCTTGGATACTTCCAGGGATGGGGCAGCCCCAGCTTCTCTGGGAAACCTGTTCCAGTCAAAGGAATGGCTGGAGCAATGTCAGGAGCGCGATAGGCTGGACATCAGAACAGATTCTCTCCACAGAGGATGGGCACCAAACAAGCACCCCAGGGAATGGTCATAGCCCCAAGGCTGCCAGACCTCCAGGAGCATTTGGAAAATCTTCTCAGGTACAGAATGGGATTGTTGGGGTGTCTGTGCAGGGCCAGGAGTTCGACTCAATTATTCTGATGGGTGCCTTCTAACTCAGCCTATTCTATGATTCTACGAAGAATTTCTGTCTTCTAAAGAATTTCTGTCTTCTAATCTAAACCTACTTTCTTTGAGTTTGAAGTCATTCCCTCTTGTCCTATGCCCTTGTAAAAAGCCTCTCTCCACCATTCTTGTAGGCTTCCTCAGGTATTGGAAGGCTGCAATTAGGTCACCCTGAAGCTTCTCTTCTCCATGAAGTAATTCACTCTATCAAGTACAGACCCAAACATACCTTGGATGGTTGTTCATGCTCTCTAAAACTGGGCGTTATATATCCCAGAGCCTTTGACCTCTGTTTGTAGGGAATAATTGCTTGGTCCATAGGAACTTGTAACCTGATCCAGTATTCCACGGTACCATAATTTTGAATGTGTCCTGTTTTCCCTAAGGAATAAACGGGATTGCATTAATTTTCTTTTCAACATTAAGGTATGTTACTCAAAAGCTAGGAAAAATCACAAATTAAAGATTGTGCCTATGCATTACGCCAGTGCTTGTGACGTGAAATCTGTTTTATGTTAGAAACAAGAACAACTCCCAGGCTCCCCTTGTATGATCCAAAATAAAAACATGACCATTTTTTACTACTTATGTATTTACTACAGGGTCAAAGCAAAGTTCAATATTTTTATCTCTTAAAGGCAAATAAAGGTTAGGACAGTTTTGTATGCTAACAGTTAGAAGCGTCCCAAAAAGAGGTATGCAATTTAAATTACAGGCAAAAATGCCACTTTACAATGCCTTATTAAACCAGATTCTTTACAGCAGTGGCCAGTTAAGAGATCACTGAATAGAGATCTGGCAGAACATTTATGGAAGAAAAAATAAGCAGCACAGAATATTCAATACTTCTTAGAAGTGTCTTGTCAAGGATACCTTAAAATTATTTTAATATAATGAATATGAATGTGCCTAGAATAATGCACAAAACATAAATAAACACCCTTCTAGATTATGCTATTATATTAAATATTATTAACCATAATCACCATAATTTGTACCTTTTTCGCTATTATATGGTGACCTTTGTTTTATCAGCTTAGATTACATAATTTCTTCCTTTGGTTATTGATAAGGGACAAGAGGATATACTTATGACATTCAGGCCAGATATAAAGCATTGATGTTTGATATGGGCGAAGTGGGGGTGCCTCCTCTTTTGGATTTTTTCCCCTTTTACCCTGAGGTTATAAGCCATTATGGGTAAAATTGCACCCATCCCAGCTTTCTACAAGTGTTGGCAGAATCACAAGAACATGCTGCACATTCAACAGAAATAGTATTCTTGTAAACACTTCTCTTTTTCCTTTTGAAAGAGTAATGTACAAATTCATTTTTAGTCAAATATTCATTATTTATCACTTGCAATATAATGATACATAATCAAACAGATTACTTTGTGATATTATTAACTACCAACTAAATTTGCTGTGTAGTAGATCTTGCCATCGTTTTCCAAAATTTCCTGGAACTTAAGTTGACAAGAAGCAATTGTTTCATAATCTATGCCATACGCACGATGAACCTCAAGTGTGATGCTGTTTTCCTGTATATAGTGGAAGAAGCTGTCATCAGACTGCAAAAGAAACTGAGAAGTGAAGTCATATAATGGGGTGTTCCCATAAACTACTGGGGTTATCTGAAGTTCAAAGTCGTAGAATGCGTAAGTACAAAAGGTTGCAGGCTCCAAGTCACCAAAAGTGTGCATAGCTTCAGAAGAGAAGATCACTTTGCTGATATGAATTTCAAAAAGGTTCTCTCCTCTTTCTAAATTAACAGTTTCAACCAATCCATCCACTGGATCACTTGGCAATACTTCTGGTTTGGACTTAAGTGGTTTCGTATCATAGACAACGTCTCTTAGTTGGGCTGCAACAGATAAAACAGAGCTATAATATGATTGTCTTTTTAAAAAATTAAATATAATTAATGACTGAGGAGAAAGGATAAAAGCATAATTCAATTATATTAACAGTATTACTTTTGTAAAGACATTACCAAGAAGAATTCATACACTGAATGCCCACTGAGCACACTGACAACAATCAGGAGTATTTCCTCAATGAAGCTGCCTCAGTATACATAGACACAGGACCCTAACAGTTATTATCAAGTTATAAGGGAGTTAAAAAGCAAAAATTCAGAAGTCTTATGCAATACTCCAGGTAAGTATCATTATGCAAATGTAACAGAGATTTAAACGCTTATTTAAAGATTATTTATTAAGATGTTTATTAAATTTTCCAGAGAAAGAAATAATACATCTGACTTTTAACATCCGTTATATCTTGAGTGGGTAGAACTATCAGCAAAGTCCTTCACATGTTTCCAAGCTTCAGGTTGTAAGTGGTTAGTAAGTGGTTAACACAGGTTGGATGGGGCTCTGAGTAGACTTCTAGTGGAAGGTGTCCTGCCCCTGGCAGGGAATTGGAACGAGATGGGTTCCAACCCAAGCCATTCTGGGATTGTATGATTCTAAGAAATCAAAATACGTGCTTACAGAATTAGGACATAAACCATGATGCAGTAGATGCAACTTGGAGAGAAAATGTGAAAATTGTTTCAACATAAGTGCCTGTAAAATATCCTGCTTGAAGCTTCCTATGCACCTTTTACACAGTGAAGCCATGAAAAAATACTTGAAATTCATCCTGTTTAAATACTGTGTCAGTATATTATAACAAGACTTGAGGAATTTTAGTAACAAAGTGATTCTGTAATGATAGTACTGCAAAGTAAAAGGTTGACCATAAAAGCATGTTTTATTAAAAAAACCCCCACAAGTTTGGTAATTTTATTCTTATTCAGAAATAGCTGCAGTATAAAAAACACTTCGCTGGATTTGGTTTAATTAATAACTATCATTATTAACATAATATAAGTCAATAAAAATGAACTGGAATATATACCTTTCCATGAAAGAACTGACCTCTCTACCAGTTTTAGGAATGGAAAAGTGCTTCAACTGGAGAACAAATTTACAACAGTAATTTGAAAGAGATAAAATATATAAAAAAAATTAGTTAAGAATATAACAGATATATATAAAAAAGATATATATATATTTAAAGATACCTTCTAGTTTTTTGATACGTGCAGCTCTAATATCAAGAAGATGGGTATACTGTTCCAGTTTTAACTCATAGTCTTTCTGTTGACTTTCCATCTTTCTTGTCATTGTTTCTACCTCACTCTGAAAAAAATTGCATGTAAAAAGAACTTCTGAGGATTGTCTGCATTGATGTTGCACATGCTTTTGGCTACAAGTTAAAATACAGTTAGATTTGAAGAAAGAACATTTAGAGTATGCAAAAATAGCAGCAGTTTTTCATTTTCATTCATACCAATACAACAAATCAGTTCTAATTTCAGCAAAATCTAAAAACATCATGAGGAAAAACAGAGTAGCTTTTGTTTTAGGACAATATACCTAACAGTTTATTTAAAAATTTAGTTATTTTAAATGCTGATTATTTGAATGAAAAGTCAAAATATAATCTGCAATACTCCAGCAGTGGAAGTAGAAAGAAGACAGTGAAAGCAGAGTGGCATGGAAAAGGAAGCTTTTTTTATAAGCATATTTACTATCTTACCTGTGAAGACCTGGTAGGACCCTCAGAGATAACCCCAAGAAGGAACAGTCTGAGGGTTAGGGGCAGGATGAGCTGAAAGGCTACAGTTTACAGTCACTTGGATCTCACGTTTTTTAAACCAAACGTTCAGCAACAGCAGATTTTATGTTTGGTTCTCTATGCACAGGCTGGCCTTGTTGCTGAACTTGCAAGTCTTAATTATTACAATTGTCAGAGCTACGAAGGTTAAAATGTTATTATCAGGTTATTTTCCACTGTGAGTAGAGTTTAGTACCTGGTAATCTTTGCTAATTTTGTGCTGCACAAGTAACAAATTCCTTGTCTTTTCAAGTTCTTGCACTGTTTCCGCATGTGTTAACTGCAGCTCCTGCATGGAGTACTCTGTATCTTTACGGATATCATCTTCCACTTTTTCCAAGAACAGGAGGTCCACATTATTCTGTTGCTTTCGGTCCTGGAGCACATTTGAAAAAATTGCTAGAAAAGACTTTTGCAAAAGATTTGCATGTATTTGTGCTTGGCTAAATGCAACACTGCAATATACTTTTGGTACAACAGTGAGACAGCAAGCAGAACTTTATAAACTTAAGCATATGGTAACACAAAACCAGGAATGAGCTAGACTAGAACGTGTCAGGATTGTTTTCAGCAAAGTAATCTCATGACTATCAGAAACCAATTAAAATATATGAGATATTCTGAAGCAATCACTCCTGTCTATCCAATGAAAATACAAAAATATACATTTTCCTTTCTTATAATTAATAATCCTGCCTCCATAAACGTACAAACCCTAAATTATTATTCTCAAGTCTACATTCTTTCTGTTATTAATACTGGGGAGATAATTTTCATTGAGGTTTATTTATTTATTTTTCTGTTTTTCCTTTTTCATTTTCATTATATAATCATCATTACAATAAACACTTCTTCAAGAAAATAAAACATAAGTTACCCAAACAGTGGAAATATTGCAAAATTATTTGTTCACTGATTTCTTCCACTCGCTCCAATTTCAATTTGTGCAAGAAAAAAAAATAGAGTATTTTCTGAGTATTCTTGTTTTTCTGTTTTAATAAACAAAGAGAAGTTGCTAAGCACTGCTATACCACATATTGGAACTTCCATGCTTATGGTACACTTGCATCAATTACAGAATTAATAAACAAAATTGGTTTTTGTAAACATTATAAGGATAAAAAGATGCCATGATAAATCATTTAACTGAGAAAAACTAAGCTTTTTTAAAATGGCTATGAATCTCATTTAATTAACTTTTGATATTATAATGAATTATTTACATAAATTAAGATTTAATTCTGGCAATTTTTTCATCTTCCCTTCTGATTAACTGTAAGTAAAAAATGACAAAGCACACATTTGAGCTTGAGGCATTAAATACTAAAAGATGCTCAAATAATTCAGCTCTTGAAAATCCAGGAGTGTAGAAAGAATATAATGGTCAGCCAAGGGTTTAACAAAGAAGATAAAACCCAGCAAACCAAAGAAACAAACAAAAACCTCTCGCACAAACAAGAAAATTAGAGAATGCAGAATACAGAATTCTAGAATGGATTGGGTTGAAAGTGATCCTAAATATCATCTAGTTCCAACCCCTCATTCTTTGTAAGTTACCTTTATAAGCAAGAGGTTTTCACTGAGTTCTGCCACACCAACATCACTTCCCTGAAACTTAACGGAAAGGTGTTATCAGATGTGAATCAAAGAAATTGATTCAGAATAATAAGGTACATTCTCACCAGACATGATGTTTTGCTTGATAGCATGAATAACTGAACACTTATTTTTCTAGATTCTTTGACTTTCAAGAAGTATCTGCACTATGTATAAAACATAGAGGGTTTTTTTTCTCATATTTGAAACAAAAATATAGCTCACCTTGGTCAAAAACTTCACTTGATTTTTCAGATCATCTACTTGCTGCTTTTGTTCCAGGTAGCGTAACTGCAGGTCTTTGTTGTCTTGCATAAGCTTTTCCTTTTGGTCTTGATTATAGAAGAACAAAATATTACACTTAATTAAACATAGTTAAAAAAATTACAGGCTTGATTTTTTCATATTAATACACACATGAAAATTTCATGGAAAAATGCAGAAATTAATGTATTTGGTATGGGGAAATCATCGTGTCCTTGTTCTGGTTAGGACAGGGTTAATTTTTGCAACACGTCAACTTTTACTGACACAATAAATACTTCTGTATTAAGACAACCATAAAAAATTGTACTTAGTAAATAGTATACTCTGTAAAACAGTACTATAACTAAGAACAACAAATGCAGCAATGCATGAGATTTTATTCATGTAAAATAAAAATTATTTAGACATAGCTAAGTAAATACATACACTGTATGAATTTATGAGATGAGCGACAAGAATCCTTGCTATAGTAATTGCTTGAACTTAAGATTTTGTACTAATTTATCTCAGTGTTTTAAAACCTGCATGAAACATTACTGTTAGTAAACTTCAATGAACATGAACCAAACAGCTACTGTAATTTATGGCTGATAATCTGGGAAACACTGGTAAAACAAGAAATACGAGAATAAATGTCTAAGAGAAATGAGGCTGGTGGAAGGGTGATATAGCTTCTGCAAGTACCATATAAAAAAAAAAAAAAAAGAAAACATAGTTAGAGTGTTACTCTATTTTCTGTCTAAATACATTTCTTTTAAGTATTACAAAGCACTTTATGATCTTATGGCCAGAAAAATACTACTAAAACATTCATATCAAATTACAGGATCTTTCTAAAAGGGAAATACAGAAGGAGAACATGAAACGTCAAGATGATGTTGGTCTCCTGTAGCATTAACAATTTTCAAGGCTTCATGTATTTTACCATCTTTCCTAGACCTGGGAAAGAAGTTTAGAAAGAAGATTCATATGCCAAACTACAAAGGGTAGACATTATCTCTACACTAGCTCTAGGCAGTACGTTAAGACAAGCATTAATTGCAATTCTACAGAACTTAAAACAGGAATGTGCAACAAAGGCAGATACTCTGAAATACACGACTGAAGAAAGTTACACTGCCTACGTTTTGTGAAAGACAGAGCTGTAATCAAATTCTAGATACAGAGGCCTAAAAGGATATTAGAACATCTACTCCAGCTGCAGCAAGTCAATTCAACAGAAATTGCAAGTGTAGTACCCTGGTGCTTCAGTTTAGGAGTGCAACATGCTACCTGGGGAAGGGATGATAAACACTTGACAGTTAAACATAATGCCCACAGGAAGGAAAGAAGATGGAATGCCAGTTTTTTCATAATCAAGCTATGAGTAGCAACTGTTAATAATAAGTCATAACTTCATAATAATGTAGCTAAAGGCATCTTTATTTCAATATCAGTTAAGGCTAATTTTGCAAATGCTGTGGGTCAAATAAAATGTTTAAATATTCAATCTGGTATTCGAAGTCGGCAGAGCTACTGAGAATCCTAATGGTAAGCACATGCTGAACTCAAGCAATAATTGTAAGAATTATTCACAACAAGTTGGCCCACTTCATTCCAATAAATTGTTCAAAGAAATGCACATCTTTAAAATACACATTTGAAGAATCAACTCTAAATTAAATATTTTCACTTTCTGCCTGGGCTTCTCTTTCTTAAACTTCATATTGCTACGGTAATTAGTTGAGATAGAAAAAAGATTGCAAAGTCAGTATTCACTAAGAAGTTGTCCTACAGCATGAAGAAAACATACATATGAAATAATCTGTTCATTAGATTAAAAGAAAACGGTGTCATTTTAAATGTACAATGCTGTAAATAAAAATAAGTATATACTGAAAATATAAAAAAATTCTGAATTAATTAACTTGAAAGACAATTAAACATCACCAAGGGCCTATATGGACTTCATGTAGCTTTGTACAGTGAATAGAGTAGTGGTTTATAATTTGAGAGCAACTGTCAGATGGATCTCTTTTCCATAAGAACTTTCAGTATAGAGAAGAGAAGAAATACTGATTAAAGAGTAAATATGAACCCAACAGATGAAGAATGAATGCAGCTGAAATGATATGAGCCTCATTCAGCCCATATTCTGCACTGGGTCAATTTTTGCACTTAACAGATAGTCATACCTGAGGGATATTTAGCAAATGTACACTTAAAATGCATCTTTGAAAACACCAGCAACAAATTCTTACACTTTTCTGGGCAGTGTATCTCAACTCCAACATGGGTATAGTCTCACATTTTCAGAAAATACTAGTTTTTTCAGAAATATACCTCTTTCTACTTTGATCTTGTCAAGGATTTCATTTTTGTCTGCTAAATCAGTTTTGATAGCTGTCTCTAGTTTAGCAATTTGCAGTTTCAGTTGCTGTTCCTTTGATTTCCATTGCTGTTCATGGGGCAGACTGAAGACACTGCGATAAAACATATGTTATATGAAAAACTTTTAGAAATCAGCTTCAGTAGTAAATAATCAAGAAAAAAAAACTTTTAGCAGCACAGAGACCACTGTCATCATGGCTGAGGAATTATGTAAATATATGGTGGTCTGCTGCTCTTGAAACCAAGGTGGCTCTCTTAGGCTGCAGTTAAAAAACATGAAAGATTTCTGGGATGAGCGAAGGAACTGTCCTTAAATTACAGCTCCAAATTTAAAAAAAGTTGGTAGCATGCAACACTTGTGGGACTAGGAAGGGAATTCATGCATATCCCAGAATAATCTAAAACTGCAAACTTCAGCAAGTGACAACTACAAAATCTTTTTTTGTTTGTTTGGGGTTTTTTGTTTGGTTTTTTTTTTTTGTTTTCATTTGAGTTTTTTTCTGTACAAGCCCTCTTAATGTAGAGAATTGGGATCATTCACCTGATTTCTTTTGAATTTGTGAAACATGCAGGACCTGAAGTCAGTTGCCTGGTCAAAAAAACGTTGACCACAAAGTGACAACAGCTTTCTCATACTCTAAAGCAACAATTCTGACACTGATTAAGGAGCACATATAAAGTAATCTTTCTCCAACTTGATGAAAAAAAAAAAAAGTGTGAAAAGAAATTAGAATAACTATTTTGTCTGTAACATTATTTGCTTGTAAACTGCCAATCTATTTGCAAGGACTGCACGGATACAGAATCGGAACTGCTGAAACCACAATAAAATGTGTAACTCAGACTGAAATAAAAGAAATCATTTTATATAATTTGCAGTATAATTCCTTGCAGGTAAAAAGAAAAAGTAATGTAATGTGCTTTTTTATAACTTACACAGTGAGTACTACACTCTTCATATTACTGTTCAATTCTTGCATTCTTATTGACTGGAAAAATGCCCATCTTAACAAATCATAAACCAGTTTCTTCATTTATATATTCTGTGAAAAAACATAAACTGTGGGAGTGTTTTAAACAAAGGATCCATTTGCTCTGACTTTCCTTTGCTGAAGCTCACCAGTTAACCAATATTATGTTTTACATACATATATATATAAACATTCTAAAAAATCTTCTGGAATCTATTTTGCAACCTATCTCTTCCAGAGATCTACGAAACAAGCCTCAACCAAAAAAAAAAAAAAAAATGATGGAGAAGAAGTATTGCAGAAGGGGCAGCCCACAGAGCCTTGTAGACTATACCTGAGGATTCAAAGAGAATGGCCTGCTCTCATGAGTGACTATATGCAGTGGTTCTGAGTATTTATAAGTGCAGTTACATCAAAAATACTTAAAGAATGACACTAAGTTTAAAGAAAAAAAACTATTACAGCACAAACTGTAGACTCTCAAGTATATGGCAAGGGTTTATATTCTGGATTTGTGCTCTTCTTAAAAACAGTTTTATTTCCCTGTATTCTTTATAGTATACCTAACCTATTTAATAAATTTCTCCAGGCACAGAGCATCTTACACTTTGACAGATTGTCTTTTACAGCATGCATGAGCTTAAGGAATGCTTCTAAGTCCTGCAGTAAAATAATATATATTTTATCTCCTATAATTTTAAAGATAATATGCAGGAAATATAATGCACTGTACCCACTATCATTCCACATTACTGCCTATATACAGAAAAGATACAGTGTTTTCTCAAACTGCTTCAAGTCTCACTGGTCCAATAAGGAAAGAACAAATCATATCTGAAAAGATCTCAAATACCCTTAGTTTTCACACTTCTGAAAGTGTTTTCTCGTTCTAATGACAACTATAAGTGCATTTTTTAGCTTTAGGTAAATTAATTTCACATGAAGATGCAGCTACATCTAATTCAGTTTTTCAGAAGACTATATTGTCAGAAAAACCATTAAGAGTTACTATGATAGCAGTTCAAGATTTTAGTGTTTAAATGAAGAGCATTTCAGAAGACAGGTTTCATCCAAGCCTATACAATGTTAATGTTTATGTTGGTTGGTTTGAATTGAGTCCACTTGTGTAGCTTTCTTCATTTGAATTTTAAGATTCATGTGGAATGTCTCTCACATCTACTGTATTTTATCGGAGTTGAAGCCATGTGGATAAACTATAATGGTCAACCACATTGGGCACTGTTTCTTTTGAATGAATTTAAGCATTGCCAGATTTGCATTACAAGGTCATATGAAAACCACACCTCCAAACCTTTTATCAAAATGTATTGTTTTCTTGGACAAAGAGTAAATAATAAGAGTCAACTCACAAATTCATACTTGTTCTTTGCAAACTTTTCAGGTGCAGTTCTACAGTCTTGGCTTTGGCAAAATAGCTATGAACTTCCCAAAAACAACATCAGCAAAGGATGGGTTTCTGACTCTTTTCCTCTATTAAAAAGATTTACTAATTACCTATTAATTACTAGCACCTGTGGACACTTCCTACCCACTATTAGCAACAAGCTGCAGTAGAGTTGCACTGTGAAAATGGGAAACTGAAAAAGCTAGCCATTAAACAGTGGTTATAATGAAATTATCCATTTCTCTAATTTCTTATTACTTGATGTGCCGGTCTTGGCTGAGGCAGAGGTAATTGCTTTTCCTAGTGGTTGGTATGGGGCTGTGTTTTGGATTTGTGCTGAACACAGTGATGATAATACAGAAGGATTTTTCTTACTGCTGAGCAGGGCTTGGAGATAATCAAAGCCCCTTCTGGTTTTCATAGTGCTGTCGCGGGGAGAGGGCTGGGGTGGATGTGGGAAACTGGGAGGCTACGCAGCTGGGAGAGCAGATCAAAGGAATATTTTCTAGTACATAAAGTAAGAGGAAGGAGGAGAAAGGGAGGACATTTGGAGTGATGGTGTTTGTCCTCCTAAATCACCGTTACGTGTGGTGGGGCCCTGAAGGTGCCCCTGGGAAGCCAGGAATGAATTCCTTGTTTTGCCTTGTGTGTACGGCTTTTGCTTTCCCTATTAAACTGGCTTTACCACACTGCACAGTTTTTCTAGCTTTTACCCTTTCAATTTTCTCCCCGGTTCGCTGGTGGGAGAGTAAAGCAAGGGCTTTGAGGAGCTTGGGGGCTGGCTGGGGTTAAACAACAACATGGAACAATGAAATGTGAATCAACGTTTAAGTGAGACTGTATGAAAAGACAGATCATTTTAGATAAAAGAACAACCATATTGCAGGTTACTGCATAGTAACAGAAGCATACTTAAATTTATTTAAACATCATCTTAAATTCTCTATGATTTAAGTAGAACAAAAATATTATAAGTTGATTCATTAGTAAGTGTTATTTTTCCTGATAATGATAAAAGAGAAAAAGAAATCGTAATCAGAAATATTTATAACATGATCAGATTTTGGAGAAATCTACAACAATGAACTTGAGTAACAGACGAGTGATCAACTGCCCCTATACAAAACTGAGTATTATGATTATACAGCTGTTACATATCAGAAGTAAAAAAAATGTTTTATTTGTACTCACCATTTTTTATTTATATAATTTTTAATTTCACCACAAACAGTACAAGAAGTATACCAAATATTGTAAGAATACTATAAACAAAATTTGATATCACTCACACTGTGTTTAGTCATTGGTATTTTTTGACAGACATCACACTGAGAAGCCAAACACTAAGAGGAGAAATAATTTCAACACAAGAAAAGATGTCAAGCATTTTACCTACTTTCTGAGACAATTATTAATTCCAAGACATGTGTCTTTATTTTCTAACCCTCTTTAGCGCAAAAAAATCACAATTTCACAATAAAGAAAAAGCTCATTTGAAGGTAATATTTTTTTCTTTCAAATGCTTGTGGTAATTGGCTAGAATTACTTATTTCCTTTATCAGTAGAAGTGAAATGATAGCTATTACAAAAAAACTAAACCACGCCTCAAAAATAATTAGTGGAAAAGCTGTCAAATATCAGACTTTATATAGGTTCACTGTGAAGTGCTGGCAGAACTTAAGACAAAAATTCAAACACCCCTTTGTTAAAAAAAGCAAACCAAAACACAGTCCCAAAACCCCAAATAAACCCAAATTAATATATATCTACTGAGATATATTCTTCATTCAACAGTAACTAAAGAAAATAATGAGAAATTCAGATAAGAACTTTTTTCATTTATGGTCAAAATAAAGTGATTCCTACTTATTTTTAAATACATTTTTAAAAGTAGTAACCTACTGTTTCAAGAGTATTAGAACAAGTTGATCCTTTTCAACAGGACAGATGAAATACAGGCAGAGTACCATGAATGCTTCCATATATGCTTACTGATATGATAAACTGGAGCATCAATATATTTATATGTGTGCATAAACACTCAATATGCACATTCCAGCACCTAGTATATGAAGACCTATTCAAAAGGACAGGAACCTGATTTTTATATACAGAAACCGTAACTTACCTGTTATGCAGCTTATCATAGTTTTCCTTCAAGAGTTCATTCTCTTTTTCTAGATAATTTATTCTTTCCTGTAACTAAAATGAATAAGGAAGTTTCATTTGACACACAGCACAAAAGGAAATTACAATGAATGTGTGAAGACAAATAGTTAATTATTTGAAGGCATTGTCAAACTATTATTTGTTCTTTTTATACTAAATCAGTATCACAGAATATTCTGCATTGGAAGGGATCCACAAGGATCATCAAGTCCATCTTTTAAGTGAATGGCCCATTTGGGGATGAAACCCACAACCTTGGCAGTATTAGCACTCTGGTCTAACCAACTGAGCCAGTCTCAGGGTATATATACAAAATAATATAAAAATCTAAAAATCTAAGTGTATTACTGACAGTATAAACAACACATCCTTGTTTTCAAAATATTCACTAAAGCAAGACATAACTTTGAAGCTATGAGATACTAAGAAGATACCTACATGCATTACAATAGTTTAAAGGTTTGGAGGAAGTATTTATGAGATAATCTTGGTAAACTTGGTTCATGCAAAATACATTCAAAACAGGTAAACCAGGTGGTAAAATGAAATTTACTACAAAATGTAACAGAAAAACAAGTAAGCTTGCAGACTCTTACTCCTCATGCATTGAAGAGAATGAGGAATAAACCACTTGATTTTTAGCCGTAAATGTGGATGACATTTGTTTGAGAGCCACTAGACAAAGAAACAGAAGCAACTGATTTTAACTGCTAAATCAGATATAACATTATACTGTACTGGAATTAAATCAGGTTGAAAGAATATTCAGAAAGTATTATCAATAAATCAAGTATGATTTTCTTTCAGCTAACAAACCACTTCTTCAGTATCAGAATTGACATGAAATCCTGTGCTTTAACCTCAAATATTGTCCAAATACTGGTGCAGTGACTGTGTGGCACAGGGATCAGCTGTGGTTGATACTTCTACGAAATGCAAGCAGCAGCTACTGTTTTTTCTTTTTAATGGGATAAAAGTATATATATGACGAGTATATATATCACTAGGTCAGTCTTCTAAAAGTGTTTGAAACATCTATTCACATTTCCACAATTAAAAGACATCCCATTGTTAATTCTTCCCTTATCTTCATGTACTTCAAGCAGATTCAAAATCTCCTGAATACAATCTCACTCACCTCTTCTGTCCTTCTGTTTGAAATAGTTACCGACTGCAATTCTTTTTGAAGATGAAAGCATTTTAATCGCTCCTCTTTAAGGTGAACATTCAGTTCGTCACCTTTTGCTAATAAAGCATCATGGTTGGTCTTCAAGTTCTTTAGATTCTGTAAAAAGGAAGGAAGGAATACCAAAATCACACCTAGTAGAATGTCCCCACACTATTTCAACAGGGGGCTCTCAAGGTGCTGTTGTGTTGATGTTCTCAAAGTGATCAGCAGGACACATCCTTGAACTAAGTAACTGAAAGTAACTTTCACTTCCCATGGCCAGCAGAAGGTGACCTGACTGCCCTCATGAACATTGCCCTCATGAACATTACTCATGATGAAAATGATAAAGAAACGAATCTGTAAAACAATTAAAAGATTTTGCAGTGGTTGGACACGCTAACCAAAACCCACTGCAGAAGCAAGCAGAAATCAGTTGTCCATTTCTATGCGAATCATAGAGCTTGCCAGAGCTCTGTTAACCCTTATATTTATATATACATATACACACGCACATATACGTCTTTATACTTATAGATATACATATACACACAATTGTAGATATATAATTCTTTTGGAACCCTCATGCATTCAGCTCTATTTCCCAGCTAGAAGAACATTAATAAGGGACTTACGATTTTCTTTACATTTTCATTTACTTTGATGGATTATAGTAAGGCCCATTTAACCAATTTTAAAATTAATGGAGGATGCTGACAGAGCCTCTATTTCCAGAATATTAGTTAATATTATACTGCCTACAATCCACAATCCAGTAATTAAGCCTCATTCGTTAAAAATTCAAATACAAATCACATTCAAATTATGATTTGAGACAAAATAGTCAAAGCCCAATCTCCTGTTTCATAAAATGACCGGATAATTTCCAATACATACCAAATACATATGTGAATATATTTAATGTTTAATGTTTTTAGACAGAAAGAAGTTAGCATCATTATTTCCATACAATATTCCTACAAAGTAGTTAAATGGAGAAGCTAAATGCTAATCCTGTAAAAATTGTTTACATTCACATGCAGTCTGAACAGACTGGAAATGAACAAAAAACCCATGAAAAATCAACCACCGACTTGATCTTCAGCCTTTCTTATCTCATTTATCAGGAAGATAAAAATCACAGAGAAGAAACAATATTAGCAGCCAGCAGAAATAGAGTTATTTTTATAGCTATTTTTATAACTAATTATTTATAGTTATAAATAAGAGAGAATTTAACTCTAAATTCTAGAGTTAAACTCTCTCTGTTTTAGATTTTAGACTTCTTAAAGAGAAGACAAAAAGCCATGTTCAACCTTTTCTCAGTTTGGCAGAGTAGATACAGGAATTACACTGAAGAAGGGGAGGGGGGCAAAGCAAAACAAAATACAGAGACAGAAAAACATGGGGGGAAAAAAGGAGTCAAATGAAAATCAAATGGCACAAGAGTTATTTAGCATGCTAACAATAAGCACACAGAAGTAAGAATTTATGAGGATACTCAGTGCTTCTACTTCCTAAGGCTCAATACTATAACGAGCTCTATTGCAGTTAGGATTCCTACTTGAAGAAACTCTCCCATTTCCAAGGTATTATCATACCACCTCTGTATGCACATGCAGTTCTCCGAATACATACAGGAAAACGCAGAAAAAAAGCTGTATAATTAAACCAATAGATAATCTACCATGGAACTATATGTTCAGGAGGTATTTTCATAAAACTGCTCTTTTATACGGAAAATTATTACTTAAAATAGCCCTCTAAAATAATTTTCAAGAACATATGAACAGAGGTTAAATCCTAACATCAGAACAAAAGAGCCAAACTGCCCAAACTTCAGCAAAGAGTAATAAAGTGGAGGGGGCTTGGTACCCCCTTTTTGTAAATCAGTACATATAAGTCAAAGTCCTCTCTTTAAATGATCAAGGACCTCTTTCCATAGCCAGACAACTCAGTTCATTCTTCATAATCTGCTTGGTATGACTTTGCAGATGAAATCATTAAGACCTGCTAGACCCTCTGAAAAAAAAAAAAGAGAGGTTAAGACTAAAAATCCCTACTCCATTTGGAGTAGTTTGTGTGTAATGTAGTATGTGGTTCATTTTAATGTACTCAGTATTGACCTAGAATCAAGAACTGTGTATAATTTTTCTTCTGTTTAGCACGTTTACGTGATAAGAGTATAGAAAGGTTACTGATAAAATTGCAGTTACCTCTTGAAGCTGGAGAAATTTTCCTTCCATTGCTGAAAGGGCATTGCTTTTCTCAGCCAGCTGTTTACGGACCTTGATCATTTCCACATTGTCCTGAATGTTTAGCCTTCAAAATTAATAAGAAATGCATTAATAAGAAATGCAAATACTTTGAAGAAGACGTAGTGTATAATACCAAAATTAATTTGTTCTGCTATAATACACACTAGAGATTTTAGGTAATTAAACATTCCACTGTTTGATGACACAGCAACTTCAATCAATACATATACATCTTTGTTTATTGTATAGAACTGTGCATGATAGAAAAAGAAAACATCCTATGCCTAAATAGATTGCCTTCCCTCTCTCCCACCATGCAAAATATTTGGTGCCAGTAGAATACCATTATGTGAAGTTTCCACCTATCAAATACCATAAGGAAAATATGGATTAGCAATTTAGACTATAACATCTTAAGTCTGGTATTCAAACAAGCTGCAGGTGTGTCTTAATTACATGAAAATAATTTAGCATCTATGCAGGTATTCTTATAATTCTAAGATTGAGTCTGTACTGTTTATTAGAAAGGACGTTTTAAATAATTCAAAATTAAAAAATATATTTACTTAGCAGTTTTTCCTTACTTCAAACAGTGCAATTAAACCCCATTACTTCCACAAGTATAAAAGGATAAACTAATTGGGAATTTTATTAATATAAATTATGATAAAATCAGAATAAATTTTCAAAATCTGGAAAGGCAATTTCTCTTCCAATATTTGTCTATTTTAGACATGCTAGACAAATCGACACAATGCCATGCTGGAACAAGTGAAGGGGCTACAAAGCTTAGACATCTGGAAAACAGCTGAGGATGTGAATAAAATAAGGTTGCTCTCTAAATACTAAAACAGTGTTAGAGAGTTTCATTTATCTCAACATTTTCTGCAACAGCAGAGCCAGTATTTTTTCTACTCTTTGTAGACTCCAAATTATTGGGTATTAGTGAATATTAAATTGTCCACTATGAACCTACACATAAAATTTGATAAGAATTAAAATTAAGGAAAAATAGGTGATTAAAACTTTATCACCTGAACTTCAATTCAACCTGTATCAGCTGGAAAAGAATTCTCTAAAATGCTAATTATGAACTTTTTTGTTTATTTATGAAAAACCATCATAACTTATCATTGTAACTATCTCCTTGCTTAGAATTAGCTACGCTATTTGGCAAAACATTTTATGACCTGGTTTCACCAATCAGACAAAAATCATTAAGGCCCATATTTCTTTACAGAAGTAGCAACTTCCACAGGTACCTACAAATATTATGACATGGCTCCTCTAACGCTTCTGCCATGGAGATCTTAATTTTTCACAATACCTTTGGCTTGCTGTACCCTGCTCTTTCAGCCGTAGGAGGGATTCTTCAATCTCCTTTTCTTTCCTTCTGAGCTGACTCGCAAGAATCTCTCTGGCATGGTCTAGTTCCTCAATTTGTTTCCTTTGGGACTCAATGACAGTCTCCCTGCAAGTACAAGCATTCTACATTCCAAAACCAGCTATATATTTTTTCCAAAGGAAAAAAAAAAAAAAGACTACTCAAGTAAGCCAAACTTTTAAGTGTTCAGCAAAATCTGTATTTCTTATTAATATACATCAAAAGAGAGGCTTTTGAGTTTAAATTACTATGAAAATGCAACACAAACTCTCAAGGTAAATGTTTCTGTGCACTGAATAACGTTTCATACAACCTCAATAAAATGCTCTTCATGGTTTCCTATACTCTACGTTAGAAGTATCTTCCTTCTAATCCATTAGCACCAATGTTTCTCAAAAGCAAAACACCATCATTAGCTATCACAAGATTAGAACTTCAGCGGATGGAGTAACTGAAAGTAATTTTTAAGGTTTTATTCTGAGATGGGAAAATCTACATCCAAAAAACAATAAAATCAAAAGATGTGTTTTAAACAGTGGAATTTATCCAGGAATGAAATTTGAAAAGTAATTTATAGGAATATTTCTGTACAACTGTTTCCTATGATTCCAGTTAATCTTTGTGTTTATAAAATTTCAAGCACAAAATAAATGACTGCACATTAATCCATGTATTTCTAAATTAGCTTGCCCCTTAATTGAAAATTTAGCATTTACAGAGAATGTAATCGATAATCTGATTTGAGTAAATCACTATGGAAATAAACAAACAGCTTTTAGAAAAGCCAGGTTCTAAACTCACAATTCACGAGAAGAAAAATATTCTAATCAGACTTCAGTATCTTTAAATTAGATGTCAACTACATTTTCTATATAACACCTCTCTATTCTCATGCAATCTCTGCATCAAGGATGTAAGGGTTTCCTAAGCTTCAATTTCAGTTAAAATGTGGAGTTGGATTACAAACCACACTTCAAAATGCAAAAGTGAACCCGAATCCTTTTATATAACTATTGCAATACTCTTTAAGTGCTTTTTGCACTTATCCATAAAATCTGTCTGCCTCTAGAAATGAAACTTAAATGCACCAGTGAAACACATTAACATAGTCATCACCTGCATGGTGGTGCACACTGTAGGCCTTACGTTGGTAAAAATTTTGCCACTAAGGTTCTTCTTCTGTCAGCTTTGACCCGCAACAAACAAGGCAGGCATTGCATCCTAGCAAAGAGAGCCTTAACACTTGAAACCAGTTTTAACTCAGAGCCAAATTCTTATGTACCTATATTTTGCATTCTAAATCCCTGATTTCCCATTTTCCTTATCTGGAAATATTTCTGCATTGTTACCAGTGTTACTGTTGTCAGAAACAACTATTTTATTTTCTGAAGTGAAAACTTCTTAAAAGATGTATTTCTTTGCTTTGAGAAAACCGTAAGTTCTAAGAATTATAATGACAAAAAAAGAAGCAATATGAAAATCATACAAATTTCTTATCTCAGCCCTTGAATCCTCGAGCAGACTCTGTCCATATCTGGGGAGCACAAGGTCAGACGATCTCCCTTCTAAACTCTGAAATCTCATTCCTGAAATCAAAAAAAAAGATAAATTTTTTACCTGTTAAATGAAAAAGCTTTTAACAAACCGACTATCTGAATACAGTACAAACAATTGCAACTGCTATATAGATGTCATAAATATTTTTACATCAAAATCACATGGAAAGAAATAATCAGAGTATACACAACATAAGCTGCTGCAAAATTGGAAGTATGGGTGATGCAAACCAGTGTTAAAGCCAACTGTTAAAAACATGTCCTGAAAGATTTTTTAGAAGATTTTACTGTCTTAAGACAGAGAATAGAGATTGTGTCTTCAAAGAAGAGAAATATCAGCATTATTAGACAGGGACATGGACTTGTAATCACTTTTTCTCAGCAATTTCTTCGCAAAATCCCAAGTGTCATTCACCCAGACATGCAACTGTTAGGACCCTATATTAGTGCCAGTGCCGGTAAGTTCCTTGTGTTGTTCAGAAGCATCCTAAGCCCATGGTGAAAAAGAGAAGTAAGAAATTAATTAAGGAAGAATTGTTACTTTAGGAGCAAATGCAATGGTTTCTCCACAATTTTCTCCTACTCCTACTCTTAGCAAGAAGAAATTAACCAAAATTAACCAAATTTTGAGGTGGGCCATTTAATTTCAAAGACAGTATTAACACTGCCTCAATCCCCAGAACTTCACCATTTAAGTTCAAGGTACAGTGATACCAGCAATTTCCCAAAATGCCTGAAAAATAATGTAACTACTTTGCTATATTAACTTAACCTATTTTGAATTTTGATCTTTAAGTGTTATTTTAAGGTACTGGTAATTGTGATACATACATACATACATACATACATACATATATATGTTTGTGTGTCTGTGTGCTTTTATGTATGTGTATGCTTACGTGTGTATACATATATATGCACACACATATATATACACACATATATATGCCTACAATTTTTTTTTGTTTACATTTGTTCAAATCAAAGTATTTCTTAGATGTTTGCACTCAATAAAGAAAGCAAGTATTTACAGAACATTCATACATGATTAGGACTTTTGCATGAGCTTTCCATGGTATTTTTAAATCAGACAAACAAAAAGCAAATATAAATATATATATATATATATATATATATATATATATATATATATAATATAAGGAAGCTGTATTTATTATTTATAGAGTTTTCTTGTCTCTTAATACCATGGAGACAGCTAATTTATCCTTATTTTTTCCAGGCATTTTATTTTTGGATAATTGCTCTGCATATTTTCTGATCTGCACTAAAAATGTTCTGAAATTCAGACTCATGGTTTCAAGAGCAATCAAAGAGTTTGCTGTTTTTAATAAATGGGAATTATACCCTTCTTGGTCTGCTCTGGCATGCCAGCAGCCTCACTCTCTTTTTTGAGACCAGTGTTCACACGAGACTGAATGGAGCTGTACGGACAAGGTCTATGGCCTTGAAGCTGGAGCTGCTGTTTAGTTGAAATGAGTTTGTTGCGGAGGCTCTCATTTTGTTTCTCAAGCTCACGAACTCTTTCTCGCAAATGCTCAATCATTTCTTCCATCTCCAGAGCCTGACCCAGCCGCTTGGGTCCACAGCCAGCCTGGTCACATTTTCTTTTGTCATTAACAAGCCGTATTAACTTGGTGGTCATTCTGGGGAAAACAATCAAAAAATATGGACAATAATGTGAAAAGTCAGCATAAAAAGTATTCTGTTGAAAGGAACATAACTACTGTGAAGACTTCAGCATAGAACCTTGTCAAGTTTTGATATAGCTACTGTGCCTGTGACGAACTCCTTGAAGATAACTGAAACCACTGAGCAGCAATCTGTTTTATAGCACTGTCAAATAACAGTTTCCTAAGACTTATCATTTAAGGTTAGTAAAGGAAGGACACATTTATACTGTGTGTAATTTTACCTAAGTGGACTATGAGTACACCCACCTGGTGTAAGTGGATGATGAGTGGTATTTCCTGTGCACAGAAGCCATGAAATAACGAAACAATTAATTTAATCTACAGTCTTGTATTTGACAACAGTCTGATAGAAAAGATGGAAACCATGTAATGTTGGTCAACTGGACTATGGCTCACTGAATACTGAGTCAAAAGAAAATAATGTTTTGTACTTTAAAGTATGAAATAGGCAATATTTTCAACTACCCTTTGATGAATTCATTAGTTCCTCACCAGAAACTTGCTTAGATGCAGAAAGACTTTATTAACAATTAGCACAATGCAAACACAGAGTCATGGCGTTCAGCCCTCCTGCAATATCATAATACTACAAACAGTTCTGCACTGTCCAAATCGGTTTGGTGCTACACTAAGTCCTGGCAAAGATTAGCACACAAATCTTTAGCGTGATTATTAATAATCAACCTAAAGTTGCTTGTATATTTGTGAGAAAACTGGGTACTGTGCTCCTCATGATACTTGGGACTTCTTCACTGAAGTTATCTATTTATCTACTGAATAAAGGAGTGATGACTACAAAGATATTTTAGTGCTAATTCACCAATATAAAGCTAGATGCTCTTCAACTTCTTGAAAGACAGACGGGGACCAAAAAAGGGGCAGAATATCTCTGTTTAGACCATTTTGATTCTAGAATTACACTCCTGATGAATCATTAGGCTTCCACAGCCTGCTCTCCAATTCTCAGAACACTCCACCAGCACAGCTGGGAATCCCAGATATTATGTCTGACGTAGTAGACAGCAGTGTACCTCTGTACATGAAGATCTAATAGGGGACACTGCAAAAACCATCTCAGATACTCAGAGACAACTACAAATCAATACAAAAATCACATCCAATGGGTGATTTTTGCTACTGCATTAAAAGTGCTCTGAGAGAAATCGGCATGGTTTTTAATTTGTTGACGATGCTTTAAAGGGACAAAAAGGTACCATGAGTTAAAATAAAAATATTAAACTCCATACCTTTTAATTTTCTCCTCTTGCTTATTTGCATACTGTTTGAGTAGAATGTGGTCATCACGTAGATGAAGAAATCTGTCTTCCAGCTCCTCTCGACTGATTCGTGATACGACCTGTCGAGCTTTTACATTCTGTGTAGATGATATTTCTACCCAAAACAAGGCAACTTTAAATTACCTTCAACACATTCAACAATGTATAATTCAAAGTCTAACTCATTTTGAAATTCTTTTAAAAAGTTAACAAAAATTTTCAAGTAATTTGATATTTTACACTTGTTTTAGTCTATTTATTAATTCCCTCAGACTTATTGGAAGTTAACCACTTCCTTTTTCCTTCCTCTTAGAGACTAAAAAAAACCCAAAAAACATAGTTCAAATGATGCATAGTTCAAATGATGATTACCTACCAAGCAATGCAAAGATAACAATTTAGCAAGCACTAGGAATGGTCAAACATACTAATAAAAAAATAGGATGAGCATTATAATTGAGATGCTTTCTAATCTGTTTTAAAATGAACATACTATATTGAAGCTTGAAAGAACTAACTCACAACAGTTGTGAAAAAGAACTCAAATGAAAGACTAAGCCCAGCAGTTCCATTCTAATGGAAGCTGAGTAACATACAAGAATTGCATAGTACTTTTGGTTCTCATTTTGTTAAATGGATCTGACCTTGCCCTCAATTCAGCAAAAAAGCATTCTCTTTCTGGAAGGATGAACGTTTCAGCTTGATAAGTTTTCCAGTTTTTAGCATCTCAGAGCAACTTCTCTCTTATAACAACCTACTTGAACATAGAATGAGTCACAGTACCTTCCAAAATATAACCCAGACTTTGAATGGTATTTGAACTTCATTTTGTGAAACATTTCTAGAAAGAAGCTAAGGAAACCACTGATTGAAGTCTGTAATTGCAATAAATAGCATCTGGTACAAACCTTGTAATCCTTCAATTCCAGCTGGAGTTGGGACTGTATCTCTCACAGCTAGGTTCCCCACAGTTTCATCAGCTGAAACAGGCATGGCTTATCTAGGGATAACAAAATTCAAATGCTTCTCTACCTGCAATTTGAACTGTGAGACTAAAATTAACTACAAAACATCATATAAAATGATAGCAAAAGTAACGACATTCACTGGAATGACAGACTCATGCATTATTATAAATGTTCCTGTCTTGACTGAATTCCTCAGAGGACAATCAAAACCCTCAAGTTCAACATTATGCCATTTTTAATCCATGCACAAAATATGGCTTATCTGGTTATGCAGTGGCTCAAATTGTATTTAATGCATGCAGAATGCATTAGCTTTTAAAGTTCTAGTTCTGTTGTCTTCAGCAATCTTTGGGCTAAGGCCACATTCCCAATTTTGGATTTTGGAGGAGGACCTGAGGGGGTTTCTTCTGGTTTTTTGGTGGTTTTCTTTGTGGTTTTTTTTTTTGTTTTGTTTTGTTTTGTTTTGTTTGGTTGGTTGGTTGTTTTTTAATTGTTTGTTCATTTTAACTCTGGTCAAATCTTAAGGCATCAACTGGTAGGTGAGTAATGCCATCTTCCACATTCTGAATAGGACTCTGAAACAAGGCACTGGGGGTTATAGAGCCATTTCAGTGTTACCTGCCAATCTCTTCATCTACTTTCAATCAGTGCCCTAAGAGAAATTACTTTTTAAAACAGAGGCACTCCTATCAATGATACTCATAAATCCAAACACATTTCTTTTTTGAGACAAAAGAAAGTTCAGCTACATAACAAAGTCAGATTAGGAAAGTATTAATTAAAATATTAATTGCTGTAATACATGAAGATGCTGCTGTTTCTTTCTTGTCTTTCAGTGCAGAAAATTAAATGCTGGACAGAGAATTAAGGAATGCTGAAACAACATGAAAAGGAGGCACAGGAAGTCCTTAGGACGGCCTTTCCCCCCACATTGCTACACTCTTCAGGTGATATAAATCCTTAGTGAATCCAAAAACATCTAGGAATCCATATTAACAGTGATGTTAAAGACTTGCATCAGAAGACAGAAATGACATAGTATAATCCACAGACATTCCATGAAATATCTCGTAATTTTATTATCAAAACTACTGCCTAAGTGATGCCTTTCTTCTACCAGGAAGCTCTCTACCATAAACTAGTCTCCATATAGCTTTGTCCTAAAGGAACAAAAAGAATTAATGGAAGTTCAGTTTCCAACAAGTAAGTCTTGATTTCAATCTTTTGTTTTTTCATCACTAAAATTTAGAATAAAATAACAGTTGATACCTGGACAGATCCAAAGGCTATGCTCAACCTTAAAAATTTAAATCAGATTTTATTTCCAAGCAAAGTTACCATACAGTCACTTCAGCACTTAATCAAAAATAAGAGAAAAGAACCTCACATACAAAGAGAGGAAAGTCTTCCATCTCTAGAATTACCCTGTAAGAACTTCCAGTTAGGTATAAGCAAGAATTTTATAGTTACTGGAGTTCAAGAAACCTTAACTTCCTTATATATTGCACTACCTAATGTTTCTATCATCATCTGACAAATTACAAAAAACCGCGTATGACTTTGCAGCGTTATGCGAGACCAGCCTGCAATGAGATGAATACTTAAAACTAGAGAATCAAACCTCATGCTTTAGGTCTAAATTTTTATATAACTCACAGAAACTAACTGTTGCCCCAGCATCATTCCAAAGTAGCAAAACTAAAGATGGACTACTTAAATTTTCAAAAGTACTCAGCCAGTGGGGGTAGCCAAGGGGTTTCTAGGGAAATCTTAAAAAACACGACATTTAATTCCGTGTGGATTTAGAATTTCATGAGTCTTGTACAAGGCCAAAATGATGCTTTTCTTGCAATTTCCTAGGGCAGGGAAACACACCTGCCGCTTGAACCCAGCGGCCAACTCCCGCTTTTCACGTACAAAACAGATACTGCAACCGAAAAGGCCTCTCGGGCTGTTCCGAGTAAAGCAGTGAGGCACTGCCTTTGCGCTGCCGGCCGGCTCCCCGGCTGGGGACAGCCCGCTGCAGGGAGCGGTACCACATCCCCCTGAGCAGCTCCGGAGGAGCGGCCGCTCCCACTCACCGCCCCGTCGGCCCGGCGCGACCCCCAGCTCCCCGCTGCAGCGGCCGCGGGACGAACGGCTCCATCCCCTTCCGGGGCCGAGCGCCCCTCTGCCTGCTGGGAGTTGGAGTTCGGGCCGGGCGCCGGCGCTCCACACTCGGGACACACCCTCGGCCTCCGCGGGCGCAGTGCTCGAGGAGCAGAGCAGGGGAGCGGCACGCAGAGCTGAAGGTGCTGCTTCAAAATGTGCAGTATGTAAGCGTTTTTTTGAATGCTGCTCTTGATGGCTGTTGTACCTTTGCTGGGTTTGCTTACAAAGTAGCAGGCCAGAAAAGCAGCGACTCCTTGAAAGTAATTTTAGTGATATTAATGAAAGGAAGGCTAATTCTATAAAAATATTAGAAAAAGTTTTCTAAGATTGCAATCAGATACACCTGTACAGGGTGTACTGGATTTGGTATTGCTATTAATTTACTATTCAACATTAAGAGTGTTTCACTGTAGGGGTAGGTGTTGGGAGGAAAAGGTTAAGGTTAAACAAAGTTGTTTGCAGAATTGTTTTCCCTCAAAGACCAACCTTGTCCCTGAGAGATCCTAAAATTATTCAGAGTGGAAATTTTAGGTATTTGTGATTGCTTTAGGTTGTCTTCTCTCACATGAGAGAAATGGAATTTGCTCAAAGAAGGTAAGAGGATGTTAAAGACCTAAGTGCATTTAATCCATATGCTTGGGCCTACTTGGGGGGGGTGGGGGTAGGGGTGGTGGAAGGGAGCTAAAGAAGCTCAGAGATTATAAAAACACAGCCTTGTGAAGCAATGTGACAGTGCCAGGCCCGATGTTACACTAAAGCCGTGCACAAGCCTGTGGCACACTTTTTGCCCCTGCTGAGATGAATAAGCTTAGCAGTGTCTGTGTCTGCTGTTTTGCCAGCATGGTGATGGAATAAATCTATTCTTTATACTTCAAATGTGGATTTCTGCCATCTTGGTTACCTGCATATATTTTGGCTCACACAGCAAGGAAAAGATCTGATCTAAGTTTGCAGCTAAGAATTTTAGTATAAAAATAACTTTAGATCCTGTTGGCAGTAGTAAGATTCTATTCTTAGAACCCTAAGACAGCCTGGTGATTTTGTAATTGGTCTTGTTTTGGTATAGCTGTATGCAGTTAAATGCTGTCTATCAGAATCCCAGGGACTGGCTTTTGATTTGTAATTATGCAGTATGTTTCTTATATGTGGTAAGCTGGTCTCACTCTCTCAAATTTTCGTGGTTTTGCTTTATGCTGTTACGGGAGAACATTTCTGTTCCAAGTACATGTGGTAGAAGTTCTTTAGAGTGCAGGGCTGTCATACAGCAATTGCCACTTTGCAAGTCACACAGTTATAAGTAAGATTGAGTGTGTAGCAGAAAATAAATTGTTTATGCTACATTTTAATACTCCAAGCCCAAGAGGAGTAGGATGACGTAAAGATTCATTCTTGGGAAGAGAGTCTGAAAAATGTTTGGAAGCCATAATGTTGGAAATGATACAACTTTTTTTTTTTTTTTTTTACTTTTTTTTTTTCTTATTTTTTCCTACAGAAGTTTGTCTACCTCTGTCCAGAGCGAGTGGGACTTGAAGTTTCTCTTCAGAAGACTGTTCAAGACTGTTCACCAGGGTAAGGCCTGATGAACTGAACTTGAACAGAATGCAAGTAGCCAGAAGAAACACAGGAGATAAGTGAACATTGCCCCCTGGTGCAGTTGGAGACACCTGGTCTGGGAAAAGACTGATAAGAGAACCAAAGAATAAGGACCAAATTAGCATCAAAGGCAAAGGGATCAATAACCAATAGGAGATCAAATACTGAGAAATGTGAGACCAGTGAACAAGAATTTCTTCAGGTTTTGTACGTATGAATATTTGAAAAGTTTGGTAAAGGACCACACGTGATGGAATGTTTTTCACTGCACAGCCCATGCATGTGTGGATGAAATAATTTCTATTGCAGATCCTGGCCAGGATAAAGTAATGCATAATTCTCTAACATTGATAAGATGTTGTTGGAGAGTTTCTGTTTTTCCCATAGTTTCAGTGACAACAGAGAGCTGCCTTTGCAGACATCAGTCCCACCTGGCACAGGGAGCTGCACTGTGTGGGGAACAAATCCCTGCTGGCCTCCCATCCCCCTGGGAGCAGCTGTGCCCCTGGCCATGACTGCCACCTGCACGCCTAAGGACTCGGAGCAGGTGTTATGCACCACAGCTGTGGCAGGGACAGGGCCACGCATGGCCACAGAAGGGGCCATGGCACCGTCTGCATGCTGTCCCTGCTGCTTCTCCTCCAGCTGCCAGGAGGTCAGCAGCTCCCAGCCACACACTCCTGCAGCCAAGATTACACTGGGACACTGTGGGGGCTTGTGGAAGCCAGGGGCCATTGTGACACGCTGGGGCTGCAGGTAACCCATGTTCTGTTGTGACTCCATGCCACCCAGGAGATTCTTTGTGACACTGTGGAACTTCACAGAACCCTGGGGACCACTGTGACACCACGGAACCTCAGGGAACACTGGAAACAGTGGGGATGCTACAGAACCTCACGGAACCCTGAGGCTCACTGTGGCACCATGGAACCTGGCGGAACCAAGGGACCGTAGTGACGCTGTGGGGCCTTTTGCAACCAAAGAGACCCTGGTGAGAACCCACACGATCATTAATCGTGGCAGAAACCTTCTCCATGTGAGCTCCTCTCAGGTCCTGTCAGGATCCTGCTACAGCACTGGCTTGCCACAGGCTCACGGCTTCCTTTGGGAATAATGGCGTTCCGCAGAACTTGCAGGTGAACAATAAAGCCTGAGCCATGCCCCCCAGCCCTTGTCCAGCTGTCCAGGTGATGGGCACTTCCAAGTGATCCCACCTGGAATCTGGGCACGGGGAACCTTTTGGAGAGGGGGAATCCTATGGGGGAGGGAACACAGGGATACCTCTGGGGGAGGGGATACTTCTCACCATGTCTGCTCCTGCCCAGGAGATTCCCAAGACTCCGGACCACGCTCCATCCTGCACCTTTTACCTGCACACAGTGAATGTGATGGCTGCTGCTTGGATGCTGCTTCACAGCTGCTACAAGGTGAATTCCAAGGGCCTGCTCGGCCCCAAGAATCGCAGATCCTGGTCTACTCATGCAGTAATTCCCAGGGAATCCAGGCCCTGCTGCCAGCTTCTGCTCTAGGGAACTGTTGCAGCCTGCAGTCCTGGAAGGGCCATGTCCAGGTATCACAGCCCCCTCCTTCCTGGTGCCACAGGGATATTGAGAGACTGACAGCTATTCATGAGTATTCACAGAAGTAAAAGTGAACGCCATTTATTTCTATCTTTAGCACACCTTTTATAGGGTTTTACAGGGTCTGCAGGCTAAGCAAGTTACTATTGGCTAATTCACACAGGTTTACATTTTTTCTCCTGTACACAAGGATATTGTTTTGCCTTATTCTCTCTCCTGCAGGAAAGTTCCAAGGACTTTAGTCTTTAATATCATGACTTATTCCAGAGGCTGATTTGTGTAGACAGGCCTTTACTAATATATCATGCCCACCTTCTGTTAAAATATTATCTACACAGGGATGGCAGCAGCACTGTCCTCCATGTGTCCTCCTGCTGGGTTTTTGGGAGTGTAGGGTCCCTTGGTGCCCCCTAGTACACCTGGGCTAGGTGCTCAGCTGGTTCTTGTCCCTCCAGAGCTCCTTCCTACTCCACGATCCAAGTGTCACAGCCCCCTCCCTTGTGGTGCCACAAGGCTGGCAGTGACTGAGACCATGTTCCCCCATGGGGTTCTTCAGTGCTTCCCAACACACCCATGCTAGGTACTCACCTGTTTCTTTCCCAGAGCGTGGCTAGCCTGATGGAACGAAGGCAGCATGAGATGCAGGAGAACAAGTGAGTGCTCTGGCTGGGGGTGGCCTGGTGTGGTGGGTCCAGATCCTCCACTGCCATGTCCATGAGTCCATGTTCCCTCCTAGGAGGCTCCTAGAGAAGTCCCAGCGTGTGGAGGCCATCCTGGCCTCCATGCAGGCCACGGGCGCTGAGGCGGCACAGCTGCACGAGGTCGAGGAGATGATCACAGGTCCTGAGCGGCAGCAGCTTGAGACCCTAAAATGCAACGCCAACAAGTGAGGGGGGATGGAAACGGGGATGGGAGATGGGAGTTGGGGACCCTGTGGGTGGCTGCTCATCACTGTCTGTCCCCCAGGATTGATGCCAGTGAGAACCAGGTGGATGAGACCATCTTTGTGCTGGAGTCATTCACTGAGAGCACCACAAAGAGGCCGTGAGGGAACAAGGACATGGACACAGACAAGAAGAGGGGTATGGATGGGGACAGGGATCAGATGCCTCTGCCCACAGTGCTTGTGCTACTGAGGGGAATAAAGCAACAGTTGCTAACACACCTGTGTGGGCACAGGGACACAGGACATGGGGACAGACAGGACACGGGGACAGACAGGCATGGGAACACAGGATACAGGAGACATGGATGCACAAGACACAGACACAGGATATGGACACACAGAGGATGCAGGACACATGGGGACACACACAGGACAAGGGAGACACACAGAACTGTTCTTGTGTCCTTCAAGATTGGTCTTGTCTCCTATGACTGACAGTGACACTGTCCCTGGCGTGACCTGTCTGTCCTGGCAACTTTTCTGGGAGCAGTCCTTGAATGTATTGAATTTTGGAGGTGGAATCCAGATTTTGGCCATGTTTAAGGTTAGGGTTGGTTATGTGCCATCACACTCAGGATGGTGGCTCTGGAAGAAACTCAGGGTGACACACTCAAAATTATTTGCCATAACCCACATGACATGAGCACATACATATATAACTTGTACATACAGATTAAACCATTGACGGCTTGAAAAAATGTAAGAAAATATTACCTATATGAGTGAAATAAAAATAGTGTGTTTGCCATGTTGTCCTGCTCCCTGCCCCTCATTATCTTACTCTGGCCCAGTGTCCTATTCCTAGGCTTCTGCTTTCCTACTACACCCCCTCCAAGTTGCCCCCATCTTCCTCTTCTCTCATCATGGGCCCTGTAGCTCATTTTTGGTGGACT